GGCCGCCCACAACCGAGGGGGGGAAGGGGTCCCGGGCCCGCCTGGGGCCCACAACCGAGGGGGCAGAGGGGTCCCGGGCCCACAACCGAGGGGGCAGAGGGGTCCCGGGCCCGCCTGGGGCCCACAACTGAGGGGGCAGAGGGGTCCCGGGCCCGGCCCAGGTGTGTGGGGTCCCGGGCACGGTCCAGGTGTAAGTAGGGTCTCGGGCGCGGTTGGTGTCTGTGGGGTCCCGGGTGCGGTCCAGGTGTAAGTAGGGTCCCAGGTCCCAGGCGCGGTCCAGGTGTCTGTGGGGTCCCGGGCCCAGTCCTTGGGGCCCCTCAGTTCTTTTCTTGTCACGGTTCTGAGAAGTTTAAGGAGAGAAAGCAAGTTCTCTGTAGCCAGCCTTCTCCTCCAGTAAAAGGTAAACTGAGGCTGGAGAGCCACAGGCAACTCCTTCAGACACACAGGTGCTGGGCCTCCTGGTAGCCGCTGCCTGGAGACGGCCCTGGGAGGCGGGAGATGTGGGCGGGTGGGCGCAGCCCAGCTGGGCCTCGAGTGCTTAAGTAGCAATAAATAATGAATCAATAGGGGGCTCTCAAGGCGCCCCAGTATGTGGGGTCTGGAGACGCTGTGTGACTCCACTGGGCTGGTGGCCGGTGGTCACCACGCTGACTGGGCAGGACACAGGTGCAGCCCACAGGCACGCGGATAAACGGCGTGGAAGGTGAAGGCCCTGGGTGTGGGGGAGGGGGGCTGCCCCCCACGGTGCCCACTGGGGTGTAGGCCGGCGCCGCAGGACCAGGCTCTGGTGCAGCTGGACGAGCTGAGCACTGGTGTCTCGCGGCCCGTCCTGGCGCGGATGCAGCCCTGGCACAGGCACTCGGCCACCGCCAGCTTTTGCGGGTAGCGGTTTTAGTCAGTTGATGCTGTGGGGAGGGGAAGGCGGGGGGTGAGCCAGCCCTCCCTCCTCCCCACCCAGGCCCTGGGCCCTCTGCGCCGCCCCCGGAGGGCTCTGTGAGGGGGTCCTGGTTAACAAGGTCCCAGATAAGGTTGATCCCGGCCACACCCCATCTTCCCGAGGGTGGGCTGGGGTTGGGGTGCATGTGCCCCTCTGGCTGGTGAGAGGCTCCAAAAAGCGCCGTGCCCTCACCCGTATCTCCAGGGAGAGATGGGGCGCAGTGGGTGTCCGCCAGCAGCATCTCAGCGGGCTGAGCGCGGGCACTGCGTCCCGGCCCCGGCGGCGCGAGCTGCCTCCCGCCGCCCTCTGCTGCCAGGCTGGACACCGGGGCCACGGGCAAGGCCCACTCCCATGTGGTACTGCAAGCTAGCAGATGTGGGGGGCCCCGGCCGTGGGGAAGCTCCTCCTCGGTCCCGTGGCCCCGAGGGGCCCCGGGCGTGCGGGCTTTGGCGGGCCGGGCCGACAGGAAGCACGCTAAGAGCAGGAAGCCAGGGAGACGCTGGAGAAGACCCAGAGCAGCGCCAGGCTGCCCAGCCAGGGCCCAGCTTCCCCCCGTTGGCCTGCGTCCAGTGGGGAGGCGGGGCCCAGCCGTCCCTGTGCATGGAGAAACTGAGGCCTCAGGACAAAGGCCACAGCGTGTCCAGGCTCCTAGGCAGCTTCTCAGATTTGGGGGTGTCCCAGCAGGCTCCTGGGCAGGGAGCCCACAGCCTCTGCTCACTGTCGCTGAGGGGGCGTGGCCCTGCGCCAACCCCAGGGCTGTGTCCGCAGAGCCGGGCTGCGCGGCTCTTTCCACCTGGGCCACAGCGGGGGGAAACCTGGCCATGACTTCCTCGTGGCTGTGCCAGGCCTACAGCCCCATCCCATCCCACCTCACAGCCCAGCTGCTCGAGCTCAGGCCTCTGGAATGGCCTCTCCCTGCCCAGTAGAGCTCCTGCACAGAGCCACGGCCCTGGCCTTGTCTAGCAATCTGGAACTTTCTACAGGTGTTCAGCCTGAGTGCCCATCAGCAGCTTGGCACTGGGAACCAGTTTTGTACCATTCTTGCTTGGGTCTGCTGGCCCTGGGGTTGGAGGCTGGGCTTGACTTACGCCTGCCCCCTCTGCCAGTCCGTCTTGGGCATGGATGCCTCCAATGATCAGGTCCGGCTCTGTGCAGGCAGGAGACGATGGGCCGCGTCCACCTGTCTCTGTGGGGCTCCTGTGCATGCTTCGTCAGGTGCTGGTGGCTAAGACCTGAGAATCATGGTTCAAAGCCAGCTTGGGCAAAAATGTCTGTGGGACTCTTTTCTCCACTTAACCAGAAAACAGCAGTGGAGCTGTGGTTTAAGTGGTAGAGGGGAGAGGCGAGGAGTCGGGCCGGGCTCTGAGTTTAAGCCCCAGCACAAAGAAAAATACGGGGCAAGGGCTTCAAGGCCTGGGAAGGAGGCGGCGGTCACGGCTGAGGCACTGAGGACACAGGCCTGCAAACCTCCCGCAGCTGGAGTCAGGATGGTGGGCTGCCATGGGCTGGGTGCCTTTGTTTCCTGGAAAGGAGACAGCTGACATTTTGAAGGTGTGGATTTAAATGTCATCCTGGGAGGGTCCTTGGCTTCCCGGATCCCTGGCCGCCTGAGGCAGAGGGCCCTGTCCCCAGGACGCGCTGCCCCGGCCAGGTCTGAGGAGCTGCTGCCTGCTCTGCTGTGTGTCCCCCCCATGGGAATGCAGGGGTGCGCCCTGCGGTCAAACCCCCGATGCAGGCCTGCTCTCAAGTAGGGGGACTCACTGTGCGGAACCCAAGCCCACAGCCAATCCACTGAGTCCCGGGTGGGCTCTGGGGTGGGCGGGTGGGCGGGCGGGGACTCCGTTTCCAGACCCAGGTCAGCTGGCGATGAGGACGCAGGCCTCCCTGACCCGCATGTCCCTGTCAGGCCTCCCACCCTCTGCCTGTGGCCATGGTTGTGATTTTCCTTTTCTCCAGCTGATGACAAGTGGGTGTCACATGCAGGAACTGGGCACTAGCCAGGGGGGACCCTGTGAAGTGGGGTCAGAGTCGGACACAGTGGCTCACGCCTATCATCCTAGCTACTCAGGAGGCTGAGATCTGAGGATGGAGGTTCCAAGCCAGCCCAGGCAGCAAAGTCCATGAGACACCTATCTCCAATAAACTGCCAGAAAACTGGAAGTGGCGCTGTGGCTCAAGTGGTAGAGCGCTCACCTTGAGCTGAAGAGCTGAGGGACAGCACCCAGGCCCAGAGTTCAGGCCCCATAACCGACGCCACCACCAACAAAAAGAAGTGTGGGTCAGGAGGTAGGGCAGGGTGGGCAGGGTGGGGCTGCGGACAGGCAGCCTTGTGCTGTGTAAAGTCCAGGACTGGGCAAGACTGGACAGGCGGCAAGAGGAGGGACACTGGCTGGCCAGGCCCCACCTGGCCAACTACAAGAGGCAGTGCTCCAGGTGTAAACGGTGGGGTGCGGGCAGACGCGGTGGGGTGCGGGCGGACGTGGCGGGGCGCGGGCGGACACGGGGGGGTGGTGTATGTGGTGGGGCGCGGGTGGACGCGATGGGGCGTGGGTGTACGCGGTGGGGTGGACGCGGTGGGGCGGTGGACGCGGTGGGGCGCGGGTGGACGCGGTGGGGCGGTGTACGCGGTGGCGCGGGTGTACGCGGTGGGGCGCGGGTGTACGCGGTGGGGCGGGCAGACGCGATGGGGCGCGGGCGGACGCGGTGGGGTGTGGGCGTACACTGTGGGGTGCAGGTGGATGGGAGAGTTAGGCACTGTCTCTGACCCCTAAGGGCCTTTTTTTGTCATTGGGGCTTGGGCGTTGTCTTAGCTTTTGCTCAAGGCTAGGGCTCTACTACTTTTGAGTGCAACTTTTGGTTTTTGAGTGGTTGAGTGGAGATGAGTCCCATGGGGACTTTTCTGCCCAGGCTGGCTTTGAACTGCGATCCTCCTGAATAGCTGGTGTTATAGGCATGAAGCGGGCACCCGGCTTAAGAGCCTTCTTGAGCACGGGTCCCTGTCAGGCCTAGATTGGCCTGGAGTCCAGCCAGCAGAGGCCATTGCCCCGAGGCGGCCATGCTGTGCCAGTGACACATTGAGATGCTGGAACATTTAGGGACTTGTCACTTAAAGCTGGACCAGCTGCCCATATGATGCTCCCCAGACCCCCACAGCAGAGGGGCCCGGCCTGGTTCCAGGGAAGCCTGTGTGGGGTCCAGCCTTGGCTGTGGGCCTTTGAGGCCATTACTACAGGCTGCTCTCAGGGCCAGGGCTCCAGTGCTCGTCAGCGGCCACCTATGTGCACGAGGAGTTCTTTGTGCCTGTCTGTGATCTGATAGCAGACCAGACACACCTAAAATCAACCAACCCTGGACATGCACACTGGGACCGCCTGGCTTGTGAGTCAGCTGACTCCAGCCTGGTGCAAGGCGAACAGGGAGGCGACCCAGGCCCCTGGGAAGAGCAGAGCAGCTGCCGCTGCTCAGGGCGCCAGGCGGGGGACAGCAGGAAGTGCCCAGCAATATCCCAGCACTCGTTAGACAAGAGCAGAGTGAAGACTTAAAGGCCTCAGTCAAGGGCTTGGGCCATGGCTTTCTGGGTGCGTCCAGGAGCTCCCCACTTTGCGATGAGGAACCCTGGCTGGGGAGGGGCCGTGGCACTGAGCGTGTGGTTAGGTAGCCAAGGCTGGAGTCAGCTGACCTGGGAAACTGCCCGACCCAGGACAGTGCTGGTGCCAGTGCGACCAGGGCAGGGAAACTGAGGGACGGTGCTCCTGGGGGCTGGGTCAGGTGCCGACAGCCTGATAGCAACACTGGCTGGGGGACTGGGAAGGTGGCTCGGCGGTACGGTGCTTGCCTAGCATGCAAGAAGCCCTGGGTTCCATTCCTCAGCACCACCTACACTGAAAAAGCCAGAAGTGACGCTGCGGTAGAGTGCTAACCTTGAGCAAAAAGCCCGGTACAGCGCCTAGGCCCTGAGTTCAAGCCCCAGGATTGGCAACAAAAAAACGCTGGCTGGTTTCAGCGGTGAAGAGGTCCAGGCCACAGTCAAAGGCAGGGAGACATCCACACAGGGCCAGGAAACTGCTTATCAAAATATTTTATTTTAGGAGATCCCTCAAAAAAGACCCTCCACATTAGACAGACGCCCCAACAATACCCTTGGCGTGGGTTTTTTTTTTTTGGTCTTCTGTTTTTTTCGTTTTTAAATCAACTAAAACAATTTGATACTTAAAAGACAGGAAGTATTTCCCAATCAGGCCTTAGTCGAGAATATGTATATATATATGTGTGTGTGTGTGTATATATACACACACACACACACACACATACTTCTGATTGGTGGTGGAAGGGAAGATGCTGCCAACAGTCCATTTGGATTCCGCTTCCAGAAGTCTCCACAGGGAGACAGACACATGGCCAGGGAGGCTGCTGCAGGAGGGAGGCAGTGTCAGGGACTCATGATCTACATAAAGCCGGGCGGCGTCTGCCGGGCCGCTCTGGAAGGGCGGGCCGTGCAGTCCTGCGGGGGTCATCTTCATCTCCTGTGTGGCTTCTTTTCCAGCTGAGAAACTTTTTTTTTCTTTTTTAATTTTTAAAAAGAATCACAGCCAAAATAAGACATTAACTGCAAAATCCAAAATGGCTGCGCTTACCCTATTTATAAAAGCTCATGAGAGTCTAGCGGGGCTGGGTGGCCTGCTACACTTTCCCCGGGATCTTGGCGCGCTTGCGTGCGATGGCGTCCTCCACCGCCTTGAGCTGCTTGAGCAGCTCCTCGCGCCTCGACAGCGTGCTGGCCTTCCCGGACTTGGTGCTGGCGGTGGGGGCAGCGGCGGCGTCCGTGGCTTTGCCAGGCACACTGGTGACCTTGCTGGAGCTCTTGGACTGCGGAGACGGCTGGCGTTTCCTGAGGGGTGGAAGGTGTGAGACACAGCGCTTCTCTGCCCCCAGGTGGCACACTGGAACGCTTTGGGGGTGAGAACCTCCAGGCCCCATGCCTGGGGTAGCCTGACCCCTCCTCACCACCAGCCTGCCTGCCTTCCGCCCAGGACTCCTTGGAGGGGCACGGGCCTGCCCGTGGGGGACCTCTGGGCACGGGCCAGAGGCACATCTGGGCTTCCAGGGCAGCAGGGCCTGGTGTGGTGAGTGGGTTCCCCGCACCCCCAGAAAGTTACACCTGCCAGGAGGGCCTCCTGGCACAGGCAGCACTCACCTGTCCGCCAGGGCTCCAGGGGCTTTGGAGTTCTGGCTTCTCGGCCGCTCGGGCTTTGGAGAGCCCGGCCTCCCCCCAGACTTCCGGTCCCGAGAACCTGGCAGCAAGGGACAGAGTGAGGTGCCGCACAGCAGGTCCACGCGCGGCGGCGGCTCCGCGCGCCTTCCAGCTGTGCTAACGAGACAGGAGGAAGTGGGGGCCAGTGGCTCAACCCAGCCTTGCTAATCAGGAGACTTGAGATCTGAGGATTGCAGTTCAAAGCCAGGCTGGGCAGGGAAAGCCAGCAGAGAAGGCTGGGAAGGTGGCTCAGTGGTAAGAGCGCTTGCCTCTCACGCATGAGGCCCAGGTTTCGATTCCTCAATACCATATAAGCAGAAAAAAGCCAGAAGTGGGGTTGTAGCTCAAGTGGTAGAGCGCTCACCTTGAGCTGAAGAGCTGAGGGACAGCGCCCAGGCTCAGAGTTCAGGGCCCATGACTAAAAAAGCCAGAAGAGGTGCTGTGGCTTTTTTCCTAGCCTTGAGCAAAAAGCTAACAGAGGTAGGCCCGAGTCCCAGGGCAGAAAGTCCCAGGAAATGGCAGGGGAAAGGGGCATGCGAAGGCGCAACGGGGCAGCCGTGACGCTGAGCCTGGAGCTGGCTTCTGCCTCCCGCCACAGAAGGCAATTTAACGAGGCGAGAACGTGGCTTGAGAAATAGACGGAACGCGACCTCCAACTGAACCAAGCCCAGTGGTCAGGCGGCCCCTGACGGGAGCTGGGAGCAGGAGGGTGGAAGACAGGTCTGGCATGGCCTGCGGCTTGAGCGGATCTCAGACCAGGCGGCCTGGTGCGGGGATGGTGGGCAGCTTCTTCCTGGGCCCCCCAGGCATGCACGTGCACATGAGCCCCTGGGGCGGCCAGATGCAGCGGCTAGCTCTCAAGGTCAGAGCCACAGCTGCCTGGAGTCCCAGGAGCCTCGGGCCGCAGAGATGTCAGCCAGGGAGGACAGCCCAGCATCTTCTGCGGCCCGGACAGCAGAGACTCGCCCTGAGGAAGCCCTGTGCTTCTGCTCATCTGTTTTAGAAAACAGTGATCATACAAGATCACTTTGTGCTCACCCATGGGAGCTCACTGCTGTTCCCGTTCTTTTTTGTTGTTGTTGAACTCGGGTCTGAAGCCCTTCCCCACTGAGCTGAACCTCAAGGCACTGCTTTAAGACAAAGACCTAGGTTTCTTTGGTCGGGAGAGGTGGGACAAGCCTGTGGTCCCAGGACTGAGAGGCTAGAGCAGGAGGATTCTGAGTCTGAGGCCAGCATGTGCTACACAGCGAGGGAAAGGAAAGAGAGCACCAAGTCTCAGTGCGGTACCGACCTCGCTCTGGAGAGAGGGTGGCCCGCTTGGCTGGGGGGCTCTGCCGGTCCTTGTCTGAGGGCTCGTACCGCTTCCGGCTTCCTTTGTCAGCCGCCTGCAACAGTGGCATCATGAGGGGTGGCAGCGGGCAGCCACCGCGGTGAGACGCACAGGGAGCGGGTGGCGGCGGCTCCCTGCTCTCCCGCTGTCTCCCAGACCCTGCTCCTCGCTCCCCAGGCCCGTCGCCACCCGCGGGCTGCCTGGAGACCCGTGAGACTCTAAGGCGCTGGGCCCGGGGCGGCCTCCAGGGTTGGGGGGTACCTGGGCCCTGGGCGGCCTCCTGGGTTGGGGGTGCCTGGGCCTGGGGCGGCCTCCTGGGCCCGGGGCGGCCTCCTGGGTTGGGGGGGGTGGTGCCTGGGCCTGGGGCGGCCTCCTGGGCCCGGGGCGGCCTCCTGGGTTGGGGGGGGGTGGTACCTGGGCCCTGGGCGGCCTCCTGGGTTGGGGGTGCCTGGGCCTGGGGCGGCCTCCTGGGCCCGGGGCGGCCTCCTGGGTTGGGGGGGGTGGTGCCTGGGCCTGGGGCGGCCTCCTGGGGAGGGGGTGTGCCCTGGCCTCACCTTGTTCAGCAGTGTCAGCTTGATCTCCTTGTGGGCAACGAACGAGCCCTGCTGAGGCTGCCCGGGGGGCGCCTGCTGCCCGGCCGAGGGCTGCTGCGAGGACTTCCCCCCGGCCACGGGCTTCGAGGACTTGGGCGGCTGTGCAGACGCGTCCCTCCTCCGCTTCTCCTCCTTGACGCCATCTTCTTTCTTTGATTTCCCTGCCCGCAACAAACCCATAGTCACAGGCGTCCGTGTGCACTGCTCCTCTGGCTCTACACTGCCCTCCCCACCCACCCTCCAAGACGAGGCCCTTGCATACCTCTCTCCTTCTTGGTCTGGGCAGGGGTGGGGGAGCGGGAGCTGGCCGAGGACACGGGGCTGGCCAGGTCCGCATACATGTCCTCCGAATCCACGCTGTGCACGGAGCTGCTGCTGGAGGTGGCGCTGGACACCGAGGAGACGCTGCTCACGCTCAGGGACCTGAATACAGAAGCACTGTCGGGCCTGGCGCTGGGGGGACACAGTGGGCCTCTGCCGCCCATCCATGCCCACTTGCCACGCTTCCGGGATGACATTTCGGAGGGCTCTGGGGAGTGGAGATGCTACGCAGTAAAGGAGCAGGTGTGGAGGAGGACCTGTGCTGAGGGAGCCAGGATGGGGCAGGGCAGGATGGAAAAATCAAGAGTTCAAAGCCAGGCGCCAAGGGCTCACGCCTATAATCCTAAAGCCAGCCTTGACAAGAAAGTCTATGAGACTTTTCTCCAATAAGTCACCAGAAAACTGGAAGTAGTGCTGTGGCTCAAGTGGTAGAGCGTGATAGAGCGCTCGCCTTGAGCTGAAGAGCTGAGGGACAGCGCCCAGGCCCCAAGTTCAGGCCCCACGACCAGACCCCCCCCCCAAAAAAACAAATAAATAAAAATAATATATAAACAAAAGAAAACAAAAACCCCAACAGTTCAATTAGGCACCAGTGGCTCACGCCTATAATCCTATTCAGGAGCTGAGATCTGAGGATTGAGGTTCAAAGCCAGCCTGGGCAGGAAAGTCTGTGAGACTCTTATCTCCAATAAACCACTAGAAAATCAGAAGTGGTGCTGTGGCTCTGTGGCTCAAATTGTAGAGTGCTAGCCTTGTAGAGTGCGGGGACAGTGCCCAGAGTTCAAGTCCCACAACCAACAAAGGAAAAAAAAAAAAAAACCAGAAGTGGCGCTGTGGCTCAAGTGGTAGAGGGTTTGCTTTCAGCAAAAGCTCAGGGGCAGTGCCCAGGCCCTAGGACTTGTTCCTCCTGGCCCCCCAAGAAGTCAAGAGTTTATAGCCAGACTGGGTAACACAGTGAGACCCCACCCCCCTAAAAAAGACAAGGAAAAAAAGGGAGATGGTCTCAGCCTGCAAGCAGACAGCCTGTGAGAGCAGGCGGGGCTGGCTGGCAGTGGGAGGCAGCGCTCTGCCGAAGGAGAGGCAAACGTCCACTGTGCACGCAGGAAAGCGAATCCAGCACTGCAGCCCCCTCGCCCTGCCCCCCCCCCCCCCCCCCCGCTACAGCCCAGAGGACGCGGCTCGTCCACGGGAGCGTGGACAGGGCCTGGGACGGGTCTCACTAGCCCCACTCCTAGCACACGTGGTGATGCGCTGCCCCGCCACTGTGGGTCTGGCGCGCCCGGCACACCCCGCATGCTTGAACCCCTATTGGTCTGGGCTGCGGTGATGTCCAGAAGGAAGTGGGTCAAGCAAGTGACCTGGATCGGGAACTGGAACCGCTGTAGCTGCTGCCGCTGCCACTCCCACTGCCGCTCAGTGTATGCCTGCAACACAAGCCCAAAAGCCTCCATCAGAGACAGCCTCCATCGGAGACAGCCTCCTCCGGGGACAGAGCTCCTCCAGAGACAGCCTCCTCCGGGGACAGAGCTCCTCCAGAGACAGCCTCCTCCGGGGACAGAGCTCCTCCGGGGACAGAGCTCCTCCAGAGACAGCCTCCTCCGGGGACAGAGCTCCTCCAGGGACAGAGTTCCTCCAGAGACAGCCTCCTCTAGAGACAGCCTCCTCCGGGGACAGAGCTCCTCCAGAGACAGCTTCCTCCATGGACAGAGCCTCCTCCATGGACAGAGCCCCCTCTGGGGACAGAGCTCCTCCAGAGACAGCTTCCTCCAGAGACAGCCTCCTCCATGGACAGAGCCTCCTCTGGGGACAGAGCTCCTCCAGAAACAGCTTCCTCCAGAGACAGCCTCCTCAGGGACAGAGCCCCCTACTGCCCACGCTGCCCCCCAAGGCCTCAGGCGCTTCATGACCAAAGTAAATTTTCAAACTGGTAAGTTGCTACTGGCTTGAAAAAGGTTCTAGAGGGGCTGGGAAGGTGGCTCAGTGGCAGAGCGCATGCCTTGCATGCCAGAGGCCCTGGGTTCGATTCCTCAGCACCACATAAGCAAAAAAGAAAAAAGCCAGAAGTGGCGCTGTGGCTCAAATGGTAGAGCGCTAACCTTGAGCTGAAGGGCTGAGGGACAGCGCCCAGGCCCAGAGTTCAGGCCCCATGACTGGACCCAAAAAAAAAAAAGTTCTAGATTCTATTTATTTATTTATTTATTTTGGGTCGAGCCACCTTCCCAGCCCCTTCTAGATTCTTTTTAGGCTGAGCTCTTTCTTTCTCTCTTCTTTCCCTCCCTCCCTCCTCCCTCCCTCTCTTCTTTCTCTTTCTTTCGTCAGTTGTGGGGCCTGAACTCTGGGCCTGGGCGCTGTCCCTGAGCTCTTCAGCTCAAGGTGAGTGCTCTACCACTTGAGCCACCTTTCCAGCCCCTTAGGCTGAGCTTTTCTTACAGCAAGTGCCAACACACAGCACTTTTGAGGGCCGGGGCAAGGCCCACACCTGGCCCGGAGACTGAAGCTTCCGGCACAGGGCAGGATCAGGGAGGGTCTTGGGGCTCGGGCTGGGCGTGCTGGCCCCTGCTCACCTCCTGGGGGGCGTCCTGGTTTGCCGCTCCTTCCTTCTGGCCTCCCGGGGGTCTCCTGGCTTGGCAGGTTCGGGGGCGGGAGCAGTGGCTTTGGGAGGCTGTGGTGGCGCGGGGGTCGGGGCTGGCTTCTTCATGGATTTCTCTCTGTGAGGCGGAGGCAGGCTCAGCACAGGCAGGGGCGGCCTGGCCACCTGTACCCACACTTAGGGCTGCCAGGTTCAAGCCTCAGGACAGGGTCTGGGCTCTGAGCCTCCTCCAGGAGCCACAGGGGCAGCCAGAGGCTGGGCTTCCTCTCACTGTGGGTGCAGGATGAGACAGACAGACAGACAGACAGCAGGGCCCTGCCCCCCAGGCGGCCTTACCCTGCTTTCCCTGGTGGCGGGGCTGGCTCCCCCTTGGCTCGTGCGGGCAGTCTATGCGGGGAGGGCGTGGGGGATGGGGACGGGGACGAGGAGAAGGACCGGGATCTGGGGAATAAAGAGAGTATTAGAGGTCTGCCCGACCGCAGACAGACAGGAGGACATCCTACCAGAAGGACCTCCACACATTCCGTGGCCTTGCCTCGTGGCAAGGTGGCTGGGGGAGAGGAGCAGGGCAGAGGCTAGCTCCCTGCCAGGATCTCTGCCCCGGGCACAGCGGGCTTCAGCACCTCATCTCCACACGCACACCTGTCACCTGATGCTCCCTTGGCTTTCTTGTCTTTCCTGAGCCCAAGGGCCCAGTGGAGCTGCTGACTCCAACAGGACCTGCCAGGCCTCGGGCATGTACCGCCAGTCAGGCTCCCGTGGGACATGGCTGCCTCTGCCGCTCCCTTCTCCCCGCTCCCCCTCCCTGCTTTCCCAGGCCCTGCAGAAGGGGAACCTGCCTAGCAGAGCCCACACCCCGGCCACCTCTCCACTCCTCAGATCTCAGAAGGGGCCCACAGTGCTCCCGCCCGCTCCCACAGTGCTCCCGCCCGCTCCCACAATGCTCCCACCTGCGTTTTTATTTGTTGCCAGTCCTGGGGCTTGAACTCAGGGCCTAGGCGCTGTCACTGAGCTTCTTTTTGCTCAAGGCTAGCACTCTACCACTTGAGCCACAGCACCACTTCTGGCTTTTTCTGCGTATGTGGTACTGAGGAATCGAACCCAGGGCTCTGTGCATGCGAGGCAAGCACTCTACCACTGAGCCACTCCCAGTCCTTCTGCATGTGTTTCTGGATACACTCCCTTGCAGTGGACGGGCAGTTTTGGGGTGTGTGTGCATCCGTGATGCCCACAGCTGCCTGAGTTCTGCTTGTGTCAGGCCAGCGGAGTGGCCGCCACTGCCCCAATACTAAATGCAGGCCCAGGACCTGCTGGCACCCTGTCTGCACTGCTGGCACGCAGCCCCGTCAGCCTCCCACTGACGGAGAGCATGCACGCTGTCCGTGCACGGGGGCGGGACGTACCTGGAACGGCTGCCTGAGAAGGAGCTGTGTCTGGAAGAGCGGCTCGAGTAGGAGCTGTAGGATGAGGACCGGGACCGGGACCGGGATGAGCCAGAGCCAGAGTAGGACGACGACCGAGACGATGACCTGGGCGAAGGGGCAGAGCGCAATGACCTCAGCACCCCGGTGTGGCCAGACTGCATGGCCACCGTGCAGCCAGAGTGGCGTGCAATGACCTCAGCACCCCGGTGTGGCCAGACTGCATGGCCACCGTGCAGCCAGAGTGGCGTGCAATGACCTCAGCACCCCGGTGTGGCCAGACTGCATGGCCACCGTGCAGCCAGAGTGGCGTGCAATGACCTCAGCACCCCGGTGTGGCCAGACTGCATGGCCACCGTGCAGCCAGAGTGGCGTGCAATGACCTCAGCACCCCGGTGTGGCCAGACTGCATGGCCACTGTGCAGCCAGAGTGGCGTGCAATGACCTCAGCACCCCGGTGTGGCCAGACTGCATGACCACTGTACAGCCAGACACCCAACACACACACTGGCCCTCACAGAAACCCATGCACAGACACAGACATGCACACACCCTTGCACCTACGGACATGATGCAGCCCAGACCCTCTTTAGTGGAAAGCCTGGTGTGTTTGTGTGGCCACCAGTGTGAGACCCGGCGATCAGCCTGAGTAGTAGCCGGAGCCAGGATATAAATCTGTATCCTGGCCCTAGAGCTTCTCTCTGTACGTGTCTGTCTGTCTGTCTGTCCACTGGATCTCCAGGGAGACCCAGGGCCCCTCTTGGGCTCCCATGACGCTCTTCCCTGCACGACCCCTTCCTCACACAGGAACACAGAGCTTTCCTCTCGGGAGCCCACTGACGGGACAGCGTGCAGCCCACCAGTCTGTGCCGCTGCCAGTGTGGCTGCAGTGCCCAGAGGATGGTCCAAATGGTGTGCCTGGGTGTTGGATTCTGTTCTTGGGGATGTGATGCTCTCTGCACCGGCCCTCCCGTCCAGGGCCCAGACCTGCTCCTGTGCAGTCTCGCACGCACGCACACACGCCCTCTCAGCTTCAGCTCGTCTCACCTGGAGGAATTGGAGGCAGAGGCTGATGAGGCCGAGGTTTTTCGACGCCTGCGTGCCCGGCTTGGGGAGACTGACACCCCGAGTTTCTTTTTTGGAGACTTGGATCGGCGCCAGGGGTCCTTCCACTCATCAGCTCGCTTCACCTGGGGCCCGACAGAGGTGGCCTCCTTCTTTGGTGGCTCAGCTTGGCGGCTGGAAGACAGGGGGATGCTGACACTCATGCGTCCTCCTCCCCAGCAATCTGCTTGGGAAAACAAACTAGGAGGCAAGAGAGCCATCTACTCGGCTCGGTTAACCAACAGCTGGGCCGGACCCCTGTACGATCTCAGTGCAAGGCTCCTTGGCATAAAATCATGAGATTCCTCCTCAAACAGTACCTGGACATAATGGTGTTGACTGTCACCCTGAGCTACAGGGGAGGTCGAGGTGGGGAGGACTGAGGGTTTAGGCCAGTCTGGACAGACACATCCGTGAGACCTCATCTCAACAGACGTTAGCTGGGCTCAGCGGCATAGGCTTGTTGCAATAGGGTCGTTTGTCTGTGCTGGTACTCAGCGTCTCAAGCTCTTGCCTGGCTTTTTGCTCAGGACTGTGTTCTTCCACTTGAGTCACAGCTGCACTTCTGGCTTTATGCTAGTTCACTGGAGATAAAGGAGTATCTTACATTTGTCTGCCTAAGCTAGCTTCAAACTGTAATCCTCACATCAGCAGTGCCTGCCTGATTCCAACTTAAAAAAACACAGAAGCTATTAAATTACCCTTTATATGTAAGTGTTCACGGTCATTTTTTTTTTTAAAGAGCAAAGTCCTGAGAAATGAAAATCGTGTCTCAAAGAACACTTCAATGCTTCTTCCTCTGAAGGCTTTTGAAATACCTAAAGGTTAAACCACTTAAGACTCAGCCAGCAGCCCACCTCCTCTCACTTCGGAGTGTGGTCACTCAAACCCCAGCACCCCAGAAATCCTGCAGCGGTGTAACAGAAACCACAGTGATTTTCATCGTACCTTTGGGACTGGCAAGGCTCACATTTCTGCTTCTGAACTACATGCCTCCCATTCCCAACTGTTGGGGCTGGAGCTCAGGGTGCTCTGCTTGGCCCAAACCCTCAGACCTTTTGCTTTTAGTATTTTTTTTTTTTGGTTTGTTGCTTCCACCATCCCCCCCATAGGGTCCCAAGCTTTTGCCTGGGCTTGCATTAGACTGTAATCTTAGTTCTGCTTCATGAGCAGCTGAGACTACAGGCGCAAGGGTCAAGCTAGACAGCTTGTCTAAGACAGAGCCAGGTTAACTCTTTACCCCAAAGATCTTGGACCACAATTCTCCCATCAGAGATGGAAGCTGGGGAGCTGGGTGCTGGTGGCTCATGCCTGTAATCCTAACTATTCAGAAGGCTGAGATCTAAGGATTTTGGTTCAAAGCCAGCCCGGGCAGGAAAGCCTGTGTGACCCTTATCTCCAATAAACCACCAGAAAACTGGAAGTGGCGCTGTGGCTCAAGTGGTAGAGAGCTTGCCTTGAGCTGAAGAGCTGAGGGACAGTGCCCAGGGCCCAGAGTTCAAGCCCCACAACCGACCAAAAAAAAAACAACAAAAAAAGATGGGAGCTGAGAACAAGATGTGTACCAACCTGCAGTTTTCTAGTAAACTGTTCGCAGATTAAAGATAGAACTCTTGGGCTGGGAAGGTGGCTCAGTGGTAGAGCGCTTGCCTTGCATGCCTGAGGCCCTGGGTTCGATTCCTCAGCACCACATAAGAAAAAAGAAAAAAGCCGGAAGTGGCGCTATGGCTCAAGTGGTAGAGCGCTAGCCTTGAGCTGAAGAGCTGAGGGACTGTGCCCAGGCCCAGAGTTCAGGCCCCACAACTGGACCCCCCCCCAAAAAAAAGATAGAACTCTTATTATTTGTAGTTTGACTTGGAGACCTAATGTTTTTCAGTCACTCTTGTGTTTGTCTTCACGTGTTTCCTCTAAGTGTAGAAACCTGCTCTCCTTTTTTTTGTCGGTCGTGGGGCTTGAACTCTGGGCCTGGGCACTGTCCCTGTGCTCTTCAGCTCAAGGTGAGTGCTCTACTACTTGAGCCACAGCGCCACTTCCGGTTTTCTAGTGGTTTATTGGAGATAAGGGTCTTCTAGACTTTCCTGCCCAGGCTGGCTTTGAACCATGATCCTCAGATCTCAGCCTCCTGAGTAGCTGGGATTACAGGCGTGAGCCATCGGCGCCGGCGCTCTGCTCTCCATTCTTTAGTCAGTCACTGGCTTTTCTTTCCCTTGATCCAACCCCTGCCCCCGCACAGGCGGGTCTCCACGCCTGCACATGACGCCCTTGAGGGCACAGGATGAGGCACTGGCTTTGCTCCTGAATGCAGCTGCCTGCCCTCACCCCGTGGCTGGCCTGTCACGGAGGGCGTCCACACAGAGCAGCCACGCAGCCTTCCCATCTCACTTACAGTATATGGGAGATCCTCAATCCTCCCGAGTGTGATTCCTTGGTGCATCTTGCCTGTGCTCACCTACAAACACCTGTGGCACCAAGACACACTGCACTCAAGCCTTGTGAGCAGATCTGCAGGGATCTCCCCCGGCAGCAGCACCTTGCTCGTCCCTGGCTTCGTGTGACCAGCACTTGTGTGTGTCAAGTATCTCAAAATAAACTGCAGCAGGCATAGTGGTATCTGGCTGCAATCCCAACCAAGAGGCTGAGGCCAACCTGGCCCACACAGGGAGACCGACTCAATGACAAAACCACCACTGCCTATTGACACCTCCAGAGCTTCAGTGTAGACACTCGGCAGGGGAAGCCCAGCGCTCTGCCCTGCCCCAGGGACAGTACACTGAGGCCTGGCAGCTGCTGTCACAGCCCAGCCCAGACACATCGGGAAGGAAGTGAGGACCTGCCCCCGCTTCCTGTCACAGCTGTCAGGTGCCACTCTGCCCCTCCCACGTCCCACATGCTGTGTTAAGTCGCCTTCTCATGAGTCACCTGAGTGGGCGGGTGCCACAGGGGGCAAGGCCCCGCCCTTTCTACGTGCAGACTGGACAGTCCGGGTCTGCAGCGTGAAGGAGGACACAGAGGTTTCCGCTGCCCACTGCAGCAGGGAAGAGAAAGCCGGGGTCACTAAGGTGGACGCCCGCCCATGTGTTCTAGAGTGCCGCTCGGCAGAGAACAAGCTTTTAGCCGGCAGAGCCACCAGGGTGTCCTGCAGACCCATGTGCCCAGGCACGACAGCAGGGCCCAGTGTGTTAGCACAACCCTTTGTGTTCTTACTCACTGTGGCACACAATTTGATGTTTGCTATACAGTAATGCTGCAAAAGTGTGCAGAACACCTGCACAGCAAGTGTGAGGTACTGAGTTCAAACCCCAATACTGCCCGAAAAGAAATAAAAACAAAAGCCTTTAAATTTAACCTTAAGAAGTAAAAAACAGGGGCTGGGAAGGTGGCTCAGTGGTAGAGTGCTTGCCTCGCGTGCATGAGGCCCTGGGTTCAATTCCTCAGCACCACATACACAGAAAAAGCTGGAAATGGTGCTGTGGCTCAAGTGGTAGAGCGCTAGCCTTGAGCTGAAGAGCTGAGGGACAGCGCCTAGGCTGAGTTCAGGCCCCATGACTGGCAAAAAACCAAAACAACAACAACAACAAAAAGAAGTGAAAAATAGTTAGGACACACAAATAAGTAAGCAAGATGGCATCCGGACGCTGCCTATCATGCAGATGAAGATGAAGCCAGGCGGGGATCATCAAGGTTAAGCATTAACCAGCAGAGCCTCAGCCATTTCTCGGCCACACAGGGGACTCAAGCCATGGAATGTGGGCTAAAAGGCACACAACTCAAACCACTAATGGAGATGGCCACTATCTGGGGGAGGACTGGGTGGCAATCAGCAAGAACTCATTGCTCGGTCCCACTTGGGATAACTCTATTCTTACAACATTGAGGAAAGTGGTAAGACTGACTGGCCCCCAAGACCAAGCAGCTTCCTCAGAGCAGCTACAACCCCTGGGCTCGCTCACAGCCACAGCTGGAGGCAGCCAGCTGTCAACATAGTTGTGTTCTGAGTGGCAGGGGTTCGAGCAATGACACACACTGTATCTTTGCTCCCAAGACAACCTAAGATGCCCAGATGGAACGCTTATTCCAATGAGAGACAAAGCAGTTGCTCCAAACAGCTTAAGCAAATCTGAGGAGCCACAAAAGCAGGCGGAATGCAGAAGACACAAGCTCCCAGGACCCCAGGGCCTGCGGTGCGGCTGGGCAGGGCAGATCTGGAATGTGTACAGAGAGGGCAAAGTCTACAGGGAATGTCTGGTCTCTAGCTGTAGCTCTTATTCCCCCCACCCCCTACACACCTCTTGTGCAAGAGCGACATGTGCAGGGCCCCGGAGGAAGCATGCAAGGAGGCCGACCCCTGTGTCCCGAACTCCAACCTGGGCGGCTGTGAAGTCTGGCTCAAAGAGAAAGAAAAGGGGATGGCAGCTCTTTCCTCGGGCGTGAACTCGGGGCCTGGGCACTGTGCCTGAGCTGCTTCTGCTCAAGGCTAGCGCTCTACCACTTGAGCCACGATGACACTTCTGGCCTTTTCTGTGTATGCAGTACTGAGGAATACAACCCAGGGATTCGTGCATGCATACTCTACCACTAAGCCACATTCCCAGCCCAGGATGGCAGTTCTTATCTACAATAGAGTTAAATAAACAAGAGGAGGAAATTCCCAGCATGTGGGTCTTGGCTGGAGCAAATGTGTCCACATTGGTTTCTGGAAAAATCCAAACCTTCCTCAAGTTCTGTGCCCTCCCACTCCATCTGCCAAGCTCTGTGGAACACACACTCTGCTCACCTCCCAGGAAAGGCCACGGTGGCTCCACGCCAGAGCTGTCGGCTGGCTTCCCTGCACTTCCGCAGGGCTCTCTCCTGCCACTGGTCTCCTGCCTCAGTGGGCGCAGCCCTTCTTGCCCATACACTTGAGTAGGAACAAACTGTGTAGCACTGCCAGTCTAGGGCTCACCTTGCCCACCACTCACGATACTTCCTGGCTCAAGAAACGGAGCCCTGCAACTCCTCCCTCCCTCTGGGTTGCTCTCCAGGAACAGAAACACTGTGCCTATTCCTCGTGATACAGCTGGGGTCTGAACCCACATACTAACCATGCCACCACGTACCTGCATCTCCTCCCCTCACCCCTCAGCCTGCGGTCCGTATTAACGGCAGCAGGCCAGCAACACTGCCAATGAAACACGGAATAAAGCCCATCACGTGCTCCTCCCAGCTGCAATTCCAAGGAGGCTCTGGTTCAGGCCCTGACCTGGAAGTGCTGGTGTGGAGCCAGACTCCCACGCACAAGGTCTCAACTGCAGACCCGCCACTTCAGTCCAGACGTGAAAATGTCTGGACACACCCTTAACCACAGCAATGGAAACACTCCCCCTACTTGCAGTTTTAGCTTCTGGATGAGTAGAAAGAAAGCAAAAACCGCTGGGCGTGTAGCTACTCAAGAGGCTGAGAACTGAGAAGCCTGGTTGAAGCCAGCACAGGCAGAGAAACCTGAGAGACTCATCTTCAATTAACTAGCAAAAAGTCTTAAGTGGAGGCATGGCTCAAGAGGCAGGGAGCCAGCCATGACTAAAAAGTTAAGCAAGAGTCTGAGGCCCTGACTTCATCATCTACTGGAGCAAAAAACAAAAACAAAAGGCAGTGTACTGTTCCAAAGTGGTGGCAAGTACTACTAAAACACACCTTTCCTGAGGGGTCATTTATAAGACCGTTGAGTAGCACTGTCCGGGCTCTACCATGACTCCACACCCTGGCCTGGCTCCCACGAAGCTTTTAAGAGTGACTAACTGAACAGACGCAGAATGTTGCTAATCTGGGCTGCACTCAGTGCAGCCCAGGCCTCCGGCATGGACCATGAGACGTGCACCCCTGAGCACCTCAGGGCCTGCCCCCCACCTGGCGGAGGGGCGTCCTGGGCAGTGACTGGGTACACTTGGCACCACCACGGCTTTCTCAGCAGCAGGGAGTAGGGTCCCCCCGTCCTCCAGGGAGTTCTGGGGTGACAGAAAGCCATGACTGGATCAAGGTGACTCCACGAGCGTGGGCAACTCCAGCTTTGCGCCAGCTCACTGGGAGGAGTAAGAGCAGGGGCAGGGCCTGCAGTGCGCAGCTCCGTATGCCACGGGCTGCTGACTGCCACTGTCCCCTTTCAACAGCTTGGACCAGAGGCCATGTGATCTCATGTACACCCAGGGCCACGTTAGTGAAGAGCAGATATAATGTGCAGCTCAAGTGCACATGAAAATTCCTAATCCCACGGGCTGGGAAGGTGGCTCAGTGGTAGAGCGCTTGCCTTGCATGAAGGAGGCCCTAGGTTCGATTCCTCAGCATCACATAAGCAGGAAAAAAAAGCTGGAAGTGGTGCTCAAGTGGTAGAGCGCTAGCCTTGAGCTGAAGAGCTGAGGGACAGCGCCCAGGCCCAGAGTTCAGGCCCCACGACGGGATTCCCACCCCCTAATCCCGCCCATTCCTCACCAGAGGGCTGGCCAAAGTAGTGTTTCTCAGCCCTTTCCACAACTAACGTTGCCCATCCAGTGCCTGAGACCCCTGGGCAGCTCACACTGCAGAGCAGTCTACTCCAGAAAGAACAGCCTTGTGTGTAGCTGGAGGACACGGTGGTCGTGGGCCCACCAGGGGAGCCGTGGGGCTGGAGGACACGGTGGTCGTGGGCCCACCAGGGGAGCCGTGGGGCTGGAGGACGTGGTGGCCGTGGGCCCACCAGGGGAGCCGTGGGGCTGGAGGACGCGGTGGCCGTGGGCCCACCAGGGGAGCCGTGCGATGTCTGAGTAGTGGGGCAAACGCAGCCCCGGGAGGGAGCACTGTCGGAGGGAGCTCCTGCATCGTCCACACCTATAGTCCAGGCACTTCCTACAGAAGCCCCATTCACAATTTATGGCTGTAATTACAGGAGTTCACCTCCACCCAGCAGGTCATCAGAGCAGCCTCCCTGCTGCCTCTGTGCACACCCCTGGCCTGGCTGTAGAAATCACGTCGGGGCCTGGGAAGGTGGCTCAGTGGTAGAGTGCTTGCCTCTCATGCATGAGGCCCTGGGTTCGATTCCTCAGCACCACATAAGCAGAAAAAGCCAGAAGTGGCACTGTGGCTCTAGTGGTTGAGCGCTAGCCCTGAGCTGAAGAGCTGAGGGACAGCGCCCAGGCCCAGAGTTCAGGCTTTACAAGCAGGGGGAAAAAAAAAAAAAAAGAAATCACATGTCGGTTTCACAGAAGGGATTTCCCCTCCTACAGTTGTATTTTATGGAACTGGTAGAGAGGCACTGCCCTTGTCCTATAAAAATAGCCCAGGTATGGGTGGGTGGGTTTCATGAGTGACTCCACATCAGAACAAGGTGACACCGACTACCTCCTTGGCCCTGAGGCCTGGCCACAAGTTCCCTGGGGTTCCCATGGAGACAGCCTCCCTCAGAGCACAGCGGCTGGGCAGGGGAGGCAGTCATGGAAAAGAGGGGAGAAAGACGTCCCCAACAGACCAGACGGGAGCTCCCTACAAGGAGCAGTGGATGCTGTCACTAGGCTGCGAGTCCTCTGAGCCCTCCCAGGAGTCAACTCTCAATCTCCCTCCTACTACAGTGAGAAAGTGCCACTTTCCTTTGGCAGCTGCCTCGCTCGCAGCCACTGGAGGATGCAGGTGCCATGCTGACTGGAGGACGAGACAGAGCAATTCTACCCTAATGACCCCTTAGCCTGGCTTTGAGGGGAACAAGGACAAGACCTATGATGCCTAAAAGCCAGAAATCAGGTCAAATCAGCGCCGTAGCCAGAGTTCCAGGCCTGCTGATAGGGGCTGTGCGTTGGATGCAAGAGCCACAGGGAATGCCAATGTGCCAGTGTTTGGGGGTTGGAGGCATGGCTTGGTTGGTACAGTGCCGGCCAATGAGTGAAAGCATCAGGTACTGAGTTTGAGTCCTGGTCCTGGACTTGGGGGAAAAAAAAGAGAAAACAATGGGACAGGGTTGTAAGATAAACAGAAGGGAAAGAACAGTCAGAAACCAAGGGGATGCAACCTGCCAGCTTGGCAAGGACAGATGCGTTTGATGCGAGCTGCGTTTCAGCTGAGTTCAGAGCAGTCAAGATGGCACTGAGGTCCCACTAAGCCCACTGTCTTGAGGTTTTACTGTGGATCTTCAAGGCTGAAATGACATCTCTGGTCTGCTGCTTCGAGGTCAAGCAACCAGCACCCCCTTAAGGATTCATTGTGCATTTTCTGGAGGCCAAATGGCAGAAAAAACTTTATACAACTACCTGATTAAAAATAATTAATGATCAAGATGTATTCATAAACTGGTTTGTTAAACGGCAACTCCTTCGCACAACTACTTAAATACCTAGTTCTCTGATTCAACACTGACAGCATCTCTGTTCCACAACTGAGTATGCGGTATGTTCAAAAGCAAAAGGCTGCTGGGTGCTGGTGGCTCATACCTGTATCCTAACAACTCAGGGGGTTGAGATCTGAGGACTGTGGTTCTAGGCCTATCCGGGCAGGGAAGTCTCCATAAGACTCTTACCTCCAATTAACCACTCAAAAACCAGAAGTGGGGCTGTGGCTCAATTGGTAGAGCATTTAGCCTTGAGCACAAAAGAGGTTCTGGGAGCCGGGCGCCAGTGGCTCACGCCTGTAATCCTAGCTACTCAGGAGGCTGAGATCTGAGGATCATGGTTCAAAGCCAGCCCAGGCAGGAAAGTACGAGAGACTCTTATCTCCAATAAAACCACTAGAAAACCAGAAGTGGCGCTGTGGCTCAAGTGGTAGAGCATTTGCCTTGAGCTGAAGAGCTGAGGGACAGCGCTCAAGCCCAGAGTTCAAGCCCCACAACTGACCAAAAAAAAAAAAAAGAAAGAAAGAAAAGAGGTTCAGGGACAGCACCCAGGCCCTGAGTTCAAGCCCTACAACCGACCAAAAAAAAAAAAAAGCAAATGGCTTGCCATCTCTCCAGCCGTCACTGCTATTCACCCCGACAACCTTGGCACTGACAAAGCCGTGCCAGTCTATGTGGAGATGACACCAGCATTCTGCTTGCTGGAGGGCCACACTAGCCACAGCAGTGCACTTCCTACCCCACGCCCAGGGGCCAGATGAGCTCTTGCCTGTAGTGTGAGTATGAGGTGCCCAGCTGGCCAGGCTGGGCAGGAGCAGTGTTCTCCAGGAGTGCAGCCTGAGGAGCCGGGGCCGGGGCTGCAGGCGCCAGCTTCTCTGTGCTGGCGCCCAGTGCGCCAGACGTTGGGGTGGCCTACCTCGGCGGCTGTGGGGAGCGCGGCTTCGGCTTCTCCTTCTCCTTCTCCCGCTCCTTGTCCCGGTCCCGCTCGCGGTGCGGCCGGTCCTTCTCGTCCCGCTTGGCTCGCTCTCTCTCCCACTCCTCCTTCCTGCGCTGCCGCTCTTTGTCCCGCTCGCGCTCCCGTTCGCGCTCGCGCTCCCGCTGCCGCCGCTCCCGCTCCCGGTCGCGCTCCCGGTCGCGCTCCCGCTCACGCTGTCTGTTCTCTCGCTCACGCTCCCTCTCCCTTTCCTTCATTAAAAAGCCAACGTACACCAGTTAGCCACCTTGGCAAAAGGAGGAAACAGGAGCCAGCGCGAGGTTACCCGGGGACGCTCCAGGGCCTTCTCCCTCCCCACCATCTCCTTAAACTGGACAGATGTAAGTAGGAGTGAAGTCACACCAGCCACGAAGTCCAGATGGAGGCCACCAGGGCCTGGTGTGAGCTTGCACCACTGGCTTTCTTCCTATGTATCGCTCCTGAAGATGGAGGCCATGGCAGCTGCATACAGGGCAAGGGTAGCACTTAACTGAGTGGTTTGGAATACAACTGGCAGCTCTCCACTGCCGGCTGATTGATTTGCTCTAAGGTTTAATGTGAAACAAATATCCACCCACAGCGCACCAGCTACCTTCTTGGCCACTAGGGGGCACACTATGCACCTTTAATGGCCATCTACCTGCATGTGTGCTGTCTGGGAACAGGGTCCAACAGCCCAGCTCAAGGAGGAAAACTGCTCTGTAGGGCAGATGGGCACAGGAGTCCAGGGGGATCTTCTGGGTCTAAGGGACTCTTGTTCAAGCTCATCATCTATGAGCAGCTGAGGCTGCCTGCCACCTTCCTTTGGGCCTGAAAAACGTGTGGCCTGTCACACAAACCACAACACATAACCTGCTTAACTGTTTCTGATAGGTCTTCCCTGGAGAAGTCATCCCACCAGTGGACATCAGGACTTACAGTTTGGAGCATACACATCCATAAATATACTAAGCTCTCAGAGTCTGGGCAACTTGGGAGAAAATACCACTGCAGACCAGTCTTCTGCCAAACCAGTATGACATGGCTGCCAGAGACAAATCCTTACCCAATGGGCCAGAGAGTTAAGAGAAGTTTTACTTTGTGCATAGCATGGCCAAAAAAAAAAAAAAAAAAAAAGAGAGAACAAAGCCATGTTTTCTCCCTTCCCTTCCCCTTCCTTTCTTTTCCTCCTTTCCTCCCCAAACTCCCTCCTTCCTGCTCTTCTTTCCTGGGGTTTGAACTCAGAACCTTAAGAGCAATAAGATTAGAGGGTGAGCCAGACCTTTGAAAATGGTTACCAAATGGGCTGGGAAGGTGGCTTAGCGGTAGAGCGCTTGCTTGCCTTGCATGCATGAGGCCCTGGGTTCGATTCCTCAGCACCACATTAGCAAAAAGAAAAAAGCCGGAAGTGGCACTGTGGCTCAAGTGGCAGAGCGCTACCCTTGAGCTGAAGAGCTGAGGGACAGTGCCCAGGCCCAGAGTTCAGGTCCCATGACCCGACCCCCCCCCCCCCAAAAAAAAAATGGTTACCAATACCTCATGAAAAAACCTAATTTTACAAAACTGGCAAGAACAGTTTTTAGCCCCTGTTCACACTACCAAATTTAGTCACTGGGTCAAGATACAATCAATATGGGCTCAGACTTAAGACTGCAGGTTCAATGAGTTCACTGTGTCAAGACAGCAAGCTCACACAAGATCCTACAGCTGGATCAGAAGGAGCGATGGCTGGGGGTGGGGCCTGGCCTTGAAAAGCGTGGAATTTTTTTTTGTATGTGAAAATACCATACAGAGGGGTTACAATTACATGGGCAAGATAATGAGTGCATTTCTTATCAAGCATTGTTGCCTCCTCCTTTGTTTCCCCTTTCCATCTCCCCCCTCCCTGAAGTTGTGAAGTTCGTTTTTCAACATAACGACATGTACATCTCATTGTTGCAATGGGTCTACCTGTATCCCTATTTAAACTATTTGTTTTCTCCCTTCCCCTCCACAAATTATACCAACATTAAATACAGTGAAAGCAAAGGTTATACTGTGGGGGAAGGACATAGAAAAGCGTGGTTTTAATAAGCAGGTCAGTGATAATCACAGCTGCATACTTACGCGGTAATTATGATACGGCTCTGTTTCTGTATATTGTACCCTGAAATTCTCGTACTGTCCACCGCGCCAGAACCGCTCTATTTCATAGTCATAGTAAGGATCCGCATAAGGCTCAAGTCTGAAATAGGAGGGAAATCTTACCACTCAGAACATCAGAGCAAAAATTCTACATAAAGGGCTGGGAAGGTGGCTCAGTGGTAGAGTGCTTATCTAGCATGCATGAAGCCCTGGGTTCAATTCCTCAGTACCACGTACACAGAAAAAGCTGGAAGTGGCACTGTGGCTCAAGTAGTAGAGCACTAGCCTTGAGCAAAAGCAGCTCAGGGACAGTGCCCAGGACAAGTTCAAGCCCCAGGACTGGCCAAGAAAAAAAAAAAATCTATATAAAAGTGAGCCAACATGGAGCCATGCCCATCCCGAAAACAGTAACACTATGATCAAGTGCCATTTAAAGCAGAAATGCAAGGGTAAAATCAGCTGCTAAGAAATCCATTAAGGGTGACATTGTACTCTTTACCCAACTAGGCAACTGTAACCCTTCTGTAAATCACCTTTATATTACAGTAAAGACAAGTTTTTTTAAAAATCCATTAAATATTCTACTTAATAGCAAACCTGAAAAGCCACTGTTATATCTACAACTGATGAAAAAAATCCTTTGGCAAAAATTTAATACTCGGGGCTGGGAAGGTGGGTCAGTGGTAGAGTGCTTGCCTTGCATGCATGAGGCCATGGGTTTGATTTCTCAGCACCACATAAACAGAAAAAGCTGGAAGTGGCACTGTGGCTCAAGTGGTAGAGCGCTAGCCTTGAGCTGAAGAGCTGAGGGACAGCACCCAGGCTCAGAGTTCAAGCCCCCTGACCAACAAAAACAAAAAACTTAATACTCATTCCTGATTAAAAAAACAAACAAACAATAAGCTGGACATCTATGGCTCATGCTTGTAATCCTAGTACTCAAGAAGCTGAGATCTGAGAATTGTAATTTGAAGCCAGCCTGATCAGGAAATTTTATGACTCTTATCTCCAATTAACCACCGCCAAAAAAATAAAAGATAGAACTGTGGCTCAAGTGGCAGAGTGCTGGCCTTAAAAAAAAGAAGCCAGGGACAGCACCCAGGCCCTGAGTTCAAGCCTTGGGATCCAAAACAAACAAAAAAACAATAGTCAAAAACAAAAAAAACTTTTTTTTTTTTTAAAAGGGTGAGGGTATGTCTCAGCAGAACACCTGCCCAGCAAGCAAGCAAGCAGGAGGCCGAGTTCAAACTCTAGATTGAGGGGAGAAAAAGCAGGGAGAAAGAAGAGCATTCCTTACTCGCTATCTCTGACATCTCTTGGAACCCGAGAATTCCAGTCTCGGAAAACTTCATTTTCTTTGTCAAATTCCCGTTCATCTTCACCAATGGTCACCGTGAACCTTTTCTCTTCAAAATCAGGCTCCTGTTCTTTCCGAATGGTTGCTTTTTTTAAAACCTACCAAGAGTTGAGCAGAGTCATGGTTAGGAACACAGGGCACCTGACAGACTGATGATTGAGCTCATCTGGGAACAGAACCGGGATGCCTCAAGGAGTTAGTGGAGATGAGCACCAAGCAGATTGAGTACACAGTCACAGCTGACATCTCAGGATGCAGCAGGCAAGGGCTGTGTCTGCACCGTCCCGGGGACACACACTTAGGGCACCTCATACACACCAAGGCTGTGTATGAGGAGAAAATGGCTCTACCTGCAAGATGCAGGTCAGGGACCAGATGAGGAGGGAAGGGGCCTGGAGCTTGGTAGGGGCTGGGCTCTGACCACAGCTGGATACATCAGGGGCCTATGGGGAGGGGAGACCCTGTAGGGTAGCAGGGGTTGGGTTCTGACTGCAAGTTGGCTGTCAAGGGCCTGATGGGGCAAGGGTGGGAGGAAGACCCTGTGGGGGTGTCAGGGTCATCTCAGGCTGTTGGGAGAGTCCTGTGGGGGTGTCAGGGTCGTCATCTCAGGCTGTTGGGAGAGTCCTGTGGGGTTCACGGTCATCTCAGGCTGTTGGGAGAGTCCTGTGGGGTTCAGGGTCATCTCAGGCTGTTGGGAGAGTCCTGTGGGGTTCAGGGTCATCTCAGACTGTTGGAAGAGTCCTGTGGGGTTCAGGGTCATCTCAGACTGTTGGAAGAGTCCTGTGGGGTTCAGGGTGGTCTCAGGCTGTTGGGAGAGTCCTGTGGGGTTCAGGGTCATCTCAGGCTGTTGGAAGAGTCCTGTGGGGTTCAGGGTGGTCTCAGGCTGTTGGGAGAGTCCTGTGGGGTTCACGGTCATCTCAGGCTGTTGGGAGAGTCCTGTGGGGTTCAGGGTCATCTCAGACTGGTGGAAGAGTCCTGTGGGGTTCAGGGTCATCTCAGGCTGTTGGGAGAGTCCTGTGGGGTTCACGGTCATCTCAGACTGTTGGGAGAGTCCTGTGGGGTTCAGGGTCATCTCAGGCTGTTGGGAGAGTCCTGTGGGGTTCACGGTCATCTCAGGCTGTTGGGAGAGCCCTGTGGGGTTCAGGGTCATCTCAGACTGTTGGAAGAGTCCTGTGGGGTTCAGGGTCATCTCAGGCTGTTGGGAGAGTCCTGTGGGGTTCAGGGTGGTCTCAGGCTGTTGGAAGAGTCCTGTGGGGTTCAGGGTCATCTTAGGCTGTTGGGAGAGTCCTGTGGGGTTCACGGTCATCTCAGGCTGTTGGGAGAGCCCTGTGGGGTTCAGGGTGGTCTCAGGCTGTTGGGAGAGTCCTGTGCGGTTCAGGGTCATCTCAGGCTGTTGGGAGAGTCCTGTGGGGTTCAGGGTCGTCTCAGGCTGTTGGGAGAGTCCTGTGGGGTTCAGGGTGGTCTCAGGCTGTTGGGAGAGCCCTGTGGGGTTCAGGGTGGTCTCAGGCTGTTGGGAGAGTCCTGTGGGGTTCAGGGTCATCTCAGGCTGTTGGGAGAGTCCTGTGGGGTTCACGGTCATCTCAGGCTGTTGGGAGAGTCCTGTGGGGTTCAGGGTGGTCTCAGGCTGTTGGGAGAGCCCTGTGGGGTCCAGGGTCATCTCAGGCTGTTGGGAGAGTCCTGTGGGGTTCAGGGTCATCTCAGGCTGTTGGAAGAGTCCTGTGGGGTTCAGGGTCATCTCAGGCTGTTGGGAGAGTCCTGTGGGGTTCAGGGTGGTCTCAGGCTGTTGGGAGAGCCCTGTGGGGTCCAGGGTCATCTCAGGCTGTTGGGAGAGTCCTGTGGGGTTCAGGGTCATCTCAGGCTGTTGGAAGAGTCCTGTGGGGTTCAGGGTCATCTCAGGCTGTTGGGAGAGTCCTGTGGGGTTCAGGGTCATCTCAGGCTGTTGGGAGAGTCCTGTGGGGTTCAGGGTTATCTCAGGCTGTTGGGAGAGTCCTGTGGGGTTCAGGGTCATCTCAGGCTGTTGGAAGAGTCCTGTGGGGTTCAGGGTGGTCTCAGGCTGTTGGGAGAGTCCTGTGGGGTGTCAGGGTGGTCTCAGGCTGTTGGGAGAGCCCTGTGGGGTTCAGGGTCATCTCAGGCTGTTGGGAGAGTCCTGTGGGGTTCAGGGTCATCTCAGGCTGTTGGAAGAGTCCTGTGGGGTTCAGGGTCATGTTGGGAGAGTTCTGTGGGGTTCAGGGTGGTCTCAGGCTGTTGGGAGAGTCCTGTGGGGTGTCAGGGCCATCTCAGGCTGTTGGGGAGAGTCCTGTGGGGTTCAGGGTCATCTCAGGCTGTTGGGAGAGTCCTGTGGGGTGTCAGGGTCATCTCAAGTGGTTGGGGGGCCCTGCAGGATGTCAGAGTCACCTCAGGCTGTTGGGAAGGTGGCTAAATATGATGCCTTGTCTTCTGGCCTACCTTGGCACTTAAAGATGGTGGGCCTGTGCCCTGGGATGGGCCACCCTAGAGACTGCCTGCTTTACAGCTAGTCAGGCACTACTTCCCATTCTCCATAGCAGTCCTCCCTTTGGCTCTCTCACTCTTTCTGGAGTAAAGATTCCCCAGGAGCACCGTGGTGGGAAGGGTGCCCAGAGAGTGTACTACTCCAGGGCTTCCCCAGGGCGTGTGACGCTGACCTCTTTTGCATGCCGGAGTCCTCGCTCCCAGGCGCTCTCTGTTGGGGGTTCTGGAGGAGGTGGAGGCAAAATTTCATCAACTACTGGTCCACCCTATTAAAAAATGAAAAGGGAAATGTTGAGAAAGCAAGCCAAACGTTCTATAAAGAAATGGTAGGACTGGGAACGCGGCTCAAGTGGTAGAGCAACTGTTTAGCAAGTGTTAAGGTCCCAAGTTCAAATCCCAGCACACAAAAACAAATGTGGTAAAGGCTCACACCTATAATCCTAGCTATTTAGGGGATGGACATTGGGAAGACTGGGGCCAGCCTAGACAAAAAAAAAAATAGTTCCCAAGACCCAATTTCAACCAATAAAAAGTTGGGTACAGCGGCCTGCACCTGCCATCCTAGCTCCGCAGAAAATATAAACAGAAGAATCATTGTCCGGCATACACTGGAGACCCTATTCCAAAAGTAACCAAAACATGAGCGGGCTGAACTGGGGGAAAGTGAAGGGGTGACATTGTCCAAAGAAAAGAATACCTTGTTAACTGAGTTACAAAATGGTAATTCCCTGCATGACACCTTGCTAGTAATAAAAAAAGTTATGAAAATAGAAAGAGCTACAGGTGTGGCTCAAGTTGTAGAGCACCTGCCTAGCAAGCAAGCAGGCATGAGGCCCTGAGTTCAAACCAAGTATTGCTTAATAAAAAGGAAAGAAGACACAGGAACCAAGCATCCACTAAAATACAAGCTGGTCCCAGGCCTCACACGCCCCCAGACAGCTGAGCTTCTGCTGGGGGCCAGCAGCTCCTTGACTCTTCTCAGGCCAAAGAACATTTCTGCACAAAGACTATGAATTTGTTTGACGTAGCTCAGACATCCAGCTTGCTGATAACGAGATGGTATGCACTCACCCAAGGATTGGCAGGCATCAGTGGATGAGGTCCAAGAGGTGGGGCACCGTTAGGTGGGAATGGGTCTGCTTTGGTGATTAGAGAGTAGTTTCCCTTGTCATTCACTCCAGGGTGTATAAACCTACAATTCATTCCCCAGGTGCAGTTCCCTACAGAAACAAAAGCCAGGGCAGCAAGGTCACTGGGAGCACAACAGCGCAGGGTGGCAGCTGGGTGAGTGGCCACACGCTGAGGGCCTGCGATGTCTCACAGCCTGGGTAAGGCGCAGGGCCAGGACTGCCCCACGTCCTCCCGTCGTGGGAATTCCAGGGTGGGCAGGGCAGGGCCAGGCCTGGCCCAGCCAGGACCTTCTGTGAGACAGCACCCTACACGAGGGCTCCTGCTGGGTATTGGGCTCCTAGGTCAGTCACCCTGTAGAGTCCTTCCTTGTGTGCAGGCTCCGTATCTTAAGATGTCACTACTCCCTACACATGATAAGGTATCGGCATAACACTAACACTGGGTTAGGTATCATAGGAATATCGCCTACGGACAAGAGGACATGCACCAATTCTGTGCAAATGCGATGCCCTTTTACAGCAGGGACTTGAGATTTTGTGATCTGAGGGCATTCTGGAATGAATTCCCCATGGAGGCTAAAGGACAAATGCATACAGCAGCAACTATCCAGTACTAATTTAAACAGAGCAGTCTGAGAGTTTCACAGGCCCCAGGCTCAGAGCAGTCTGCACTGTAGCCTCCAGGCAATTCTGCCTCAGATCACACACACACACACACTATACGTATATCACGTATATATCTTACATATCTAAGATAAAAGCACACCAATAATTATAAAAATGGGCTTTTAACTTTGCTCACAAGTAACTTATCTCCAACAGGAAACTAGTTTTTTTTGCCAGTCCTGGGCTTGAACTCAGGGCACTGTCCACGAGCTTCTTTTTGCTCAAGGCAAGCACTCTACCCCTAAGCCACCTTCCCAGGCCTATTCTCACTCGACTTCTCAGTAGGACACAAGTCGTCATCAATAAATGCACACCTGTTTTTTACAATCCTGAATTTGTTTTTCAGCTGGGCATTGGTGGTTCATGCCTGTAATCCTAGCTATTCTGGAGGCTGAGAACTGAGGATCACCATCAGAAACCAGAATGGACAGGTAAGTTCAAGAGACCCTCATCTCCAATTAAGCACAAAAAAGCCGGAAGTGGCACTGGGGCTCAAGTAGTAGAGAGCTAGCCTTGATCAAAAGAGCCTAGTCCTGGGGCTGGGAAGGTGGCTCAGTGGTAGAGTGCTTGCCTTGCATGCCTGAGGCCTTGGGTTTGATTCCTCAGCACCACATAAGCAAAAAGAAAAATCCGGAAGTGGCGCTGTGGTTCAAGTGGTAGAGCGCTAGCCTTGAGCTGAAGAGCTGAGGGACAGCGCCCAGGCCCAGAGTTCAGGCCCCACGACCGGACCCAAAAAAAAAAAAAAGAGCCTAGTCCCTTAGTTCAAGCCACTGGACCACAAGAAAAAAAAAAAAAAAAGAAGACCCTTCTGAATATCTAGGATTACAGGTATGAGCTGACCTAGCTCACTTCATGACCTAACTCTCAAAATATTCATGTAACATTCAATGTTGCTTGTGTAACTGTAAGAAAATTTGGTAAGTATTCATGACACAAATTATACAATTACACAAATAGTTAATATTGTGATAGTTCTAGCTACAATTTTAAAAAATGTTCAAGCCTGTAATCCTAACTACTCAGGAGACTGAGATCTGCTTATCATGGTTCAAAGCCAGCTCAGGCAGGAAAAGTCTGTGAGATTATCTCCAATCAGCAAAAAGCCATACGTGGTTGACAAACAGCTTTGAGCAAAAAAACTCAGGGATAGTGCCAAGGCCCTAAATTTAAGCCTCACAATGGACGAAAATGGCACCTAGGCCCCTGAGTTCAAAGCCCAGAATTGTGGCACGTGTGCGCGCGCGCACACACACACACACAGAGTACCTGTGTTGTCATGTTTTCATTGTGGTCAATTCTGAGGCAAAAACGTAAGTGGTCAGAAAACTTATACTGGCTCTCACTTGTGAAGATTCTAAGGCCCACTGGGCTCCATTACTTTGGCCCTAGATGAGGCACCTATCTTGAGATTTTCTGCTCAAGGCTAGCACTCTACTACTTGAGCCACGGCTCTACTTCTACTTCTGGCTCTTTGGTGGCTACCTGAAGGTAAGAATCTAACCATCTTTCTTGCCCTGGCTGGCTCTGAACCACGATCCTCAGATCTTAATCTCCTGAGTAGCTAGGATTACAGGCGTGCACCACCAATGCCCAGCTTGTTAGCTACCCACCTCTTAAAAAGATTTTTCATTTTTGGTCTGAGACCAAGACTTAAACTCAGTATCTGGTGTTTTTACTCATCGGCTAGCATTCTACCAACTGAGCCATGCTTCCAACCCCAAAAAGGATGTTAAAACTGAGACATAAGTCACCATACGATATAAAATGCTTTGTTTAAAGTGTACAACTCAGTGCACTTCAATAGTGCATCAATACCAGAACACTCCAACACCTACAGAAACACTCCTCAACTTTGATCAGCTCCTACCTTCAGCCTGGGCAAGTAAGGAGTCTACTTTCTGTCTCTGTGGATTTGTTCTGGACATTTCATAGAAATGGAATCCTCCACAGAGGCTTTGTGTGCCTGGCTTCCCTCCATGTTTCCTAGGTTCATCCGCACTGTGTTTTCTTGGGTGCCATTCCTTCTCTGGCTAACCGGTTCACTATATGGAAGAACATTTTGTTTATCCCCTCATCAGATCCCAGGCATCTGGGTTGTTTCTTACTTTTGCTATTGTGAACCAGGCTGCTATAAGCATCACTGCACAAGTCTGTGGAGACATTTCATGGCTCCCAGACAAGACCTAGAGGTAGAATTACTGGGTCACAGAGTAACTCTACCCTTTACCTGTGAGGAACTGCCCGTTTTGCAAAATGGCTGCACCAATTCACCTTCCTACTAGCAGTGTTTCAATTCCAATATGTCCCACGTCTTTGCCAAAGGAACACACTATTTCTTAAAGCCATTGTTCCTTAACCAATTCACTTTAATTTCACATCAAGCTTATATTCTGGAGGTAAGATGCAACTACATCCAAATGTATTTCTCCTAAGCAAAAGCAGGACACATTATAGAACACTGAAAAGGGAGAACTGAAGGGGGAAAAAAAAGGTAGTCACTGTATTCTATGTACAGACTAAGAGGACAAGGTTCTGATACTTGACACAAGCTACAGACCATGTCCAGTTAAGTGGCAGACACTGCATCGGCCTCTCCTTCAGATTGCTAATGCAGAGCTCCCTAGGCCACACTCACAGAAGCTAGAGCCCAGCAGGTACTCTGTCAGGCCCTGCCCTCCATCCACCTACCCGGCACAAAGGCTAGGGAGCCCAGGCTCCTGCTCGTGTGTGTGCAGTATCTCCCAGGAATTCAGTGTCTGGTTTTAGGGATGACCGCACTTGGATCTGTTTTGTGCTTCTGCTGTTGAAATTCTGAGGCCTAGTTCAGCAGGGTGAGCCCCCAGCTTCTGGACAGAGGCTCCAGGCAGGGAGGGCCACTTCTGTCTCTTGCAGGGGCTACTGTGTGCACATCTGACCAGCAAGCTAACCTTCTAGCACACTGGGGGCCCCAGCACTGTGCACTGCTCAGAGCAGTACTGATCTGAAGGAACTGCAGACTGCATGTGTTTATGTGTGGATTTCTATGTCCCTTCAACCTAGAAATCCGAGATGGACTGACGTCATTTTATTCCCGCACGCTCAGGTTTGTAACTTTTCTGAGCCACTCACAGTTAAAAGAGGAAAGATGGAACACTGACTGCTCTGGACTCTTAGGGTGGCTGTGAGGTTGTCGCATGAGCCCAGCTGCCTGCACACTGGGCCCTTGTCACACCCTCATTCCCAGATGAACCAGCCATAGGCATGTGAATCGCTCATGACTGAGAGGGGGGGCCCTGGCAGGGGTTCTCATGAGCCCCTCCATCAGGATACGCGGCCTGAGGGACGCGGCTCCCTGTCCGTAGGACGGAACTCCACCACCTGCAGAACTTCCTGCTCCCCACGTGCACCACCCCGGCCTCAGCCTGGTCTCCTGCATTGCTCGCTCGGGGCCTCGGAGGAGGCTCCTCCACAATAGCTCCGCCCCACAAGCCCCCTTCCTTGCCACGTCCCAGCAGTAATCCAGATCCAGGAGGAAGAAGTCTGGCCCCTGGAGCAGAGAGTTTTAAGGAGAGAGTGAATACAGGGTATTTGTACCTTTAACCTGGCCTCTGAGTGGTATGGAATTTGGTATTGGTGGAAGAGGAGTGAACAGTGGTGTCACAACACCTGGAAGAGAAGTACAGGAAGCTCTTGTGAACTTTAGACTGCAGGCAGGCCAGTCAGCGAGCAGCGTCATCTACGGGCAAGAGGAACACATGTCCCCACCTGTCCACGGAGAAGGCTCCATTACAGGACACCCAGATGGCTGCGCACACCGAAGAGCCCCTCACAGAATGGAAAGCTCATTTCCGCTTCTGCGTCCCACAACTTCCACAAAACAAAATGCCTTACCACCATCACACTAAAGGGTTACGCTAGGTGTTAACATGGGGGTCATTCAGATTTTTAGCAAGATGTACCAAGCTGCTCTTGGCTGCTACTGCTTAACACACAGTGCTTTTCACAGATTATCTGTGGCCCTTACAATCTTCCCCTTGCTGTTCTCAAGTCTTTGCAAATGAAGGGCGTGCTCCTGACCCACCCTGCGGAGAGAGCTCTTGCAGAGGCAGGTGAAATGCTGACTTTGGCAGGCAGCATCTGGTCACTCAGGAGAGTGACCGCTATGCTGCTGCAGCACGGGTCTACCGTAAGCAATGGGCCTGGAACCACGGCACGAAAGCAGCCAGGCTGGCTCCCCTCCGTGGCGGTCTTTATGGGTCTATTAATAGTTTATCACAAACTCTCAAAGTCTGGCCCCAAGAACAGCTGTACATAGTACACGGCCAGGGGAGGGCTGAGCCACCACCACACTGTGGCCAGGGAAGGGCTGAGGCCACATGGATGTGCAGACGATTACCTTTCATGAAGAATCGGCATGTGGGGCGAGGCCTCACCTTCCTGTCACTGGGGTCCTTCACTTCGCCTTCTTCAAGGTCGTCATCCTGGAACAGAGGACAGCCGCCTTAACAAGGTGGGCATCATCTACCCTCTGCTACCTTCGCCAAGCTGCAAAGAGCAGAATCAGGTGTGGGAACTTGGACACGTTCCCCAAGATGTCCCGGCCTCTCACAGTTCTCACCAATCCCTCCCCCCCCCCCCCCCCCCGCCCCCAGGGACAACCCCAAACCTCACGTACAAGCTCCAGGCATGTGCAAAGACACTGTGCAAACACTCTGGGCTACACAAGAGCTTGACTAAGAAGGGTTTTATCTACCACCTCCTCCCGCCCCAATACTTCCCTCCTAGTTTTATAGGTTATAGGGCTTAAATTTAGGGCACTGTCCCTGAGATTTTTTGCTCAAAGCTTGCAATCTCCCACTTTGAGCCACAGCTCTATTTTCCGTTTTCTGGTGGTTAATGGTAGACAAGAGTCTCACTACCAGGCACCAGTAATTCTGGCTACTCAGGAGGCTGAGATCTAAGGATTCTAGTTTGAAGCCAGCCCAGGCAGGAAAGTCTGTGAGACTCTTCAATTAACCACCAGAAAACCAGATGTAGAGCTGTGTGGCTCAAAGTGGTAGAGGGCTAGCCTTGAGCAAAAAAGATCAGGGATGGCACTTAGACCCTGAGTTCAAGCCCCATAACCACAAAAGAAGAAAAAAAAAGGTCTCACAGGGCTTTTTTTTTTTTTTTGGGGGGGGGGGGGTGTCAGTTGTAGGGCTTGAACTCTGGTCCTGGGCGCTGTCCCTGAGAGCTCTTCAGCTCAAGGTGAGCAACTCTACCATTTGAGCCACAGAGCCACTTCTGGTTTTCTGGTGGTTAATTGGAAATAAGAGTCTCACGGACTTTCCTACCCAGGCTGGCTTTGAACTGCAATCCTCAGATCTCAGTCTCCTGAGTAGCTAGGATTACAAGCATGAACCACTGACTCCCAGCTGTTTTTTGAGCTGATTCTGAAAGTAAAAAGGACCAGGCCAAGAGCCTGCTGGGCAGCCTCAAGAACACCTGCTGGGCTCCCTCTGCATCTGAGCAATGCTCCTGAAGACAACCGTGGGACACAGTGTACACATGCCAGCAGGACTTCCAGGAAAGGGAGCCCAGGATGTGCGCTTGGGGAGATGCAGAGATCCAGCAGGATGACAAGTTTGGAACTGACCCTGAGAGCAGGGAAAAAACCAGAGCCAGCAGGAGCTGGCATTCTCCCACACAGCTGACAGTCTGACGGGCACTTACAAGGTGGCACTGCCACCTGGGGCGCCCGCTGAACACTAGAGGTTCTCTGGTGGTCAACTGCCATTGCCCTCTTGCAGCTCCACTCTTGGGCCTCCACTCTGGCATGCTCCAAAGCAAGTGGGGTTAACCGGGCCGAAGTCCTGGTCTAGGAGTGGTGTGCTTGGGGAAGGGGCCAGAGAAGCAGAAGACACCTCCATGAAGGAGCCAGCCAGCTGAGGCTGTCAAGAGCCAGCATGGACTGGGCAGATGGCGCGACCCGCAGAGAAGCGACATTCAGGCCGGCCGGCCAAGGACGGGAAGCCCGGGGTGGCTCACAGGGCCTCTCTGGGTGAGCACTCACTGTCCTGGAGTCAGCAGGCCCGCCCGAGTCGAAACCACCACCCACAAGTGGTGGTGCACTGCCCTCATGGAGCGGACAAGCCCTGCTCTGCCCCTATGTCCTCAGGCCTGCACTCTGGCAAGGGGTCCTGAGCTGCATCCAAGAGCACAGGGGTGCTGTGGACCTGCAGTGCACCTGAGCCTGAAGGCCGGGCTTTTAGCAACATGCTGCTTCCTGCAAGGTTGCAGCCACGCAAGAGCGCATCATGCAGGGCAAGTAGAACACACAGTCAGCCCATAGTCTTTCCACACATTCTGTTTCTAGGGGAAATCAACAGCCCAAGACCACAGCGCTGGACAAGTGCTAGCAGGATTCAACCAGTCTCCTCCATCTACACCTCAATGCAGTGGACCCTAAGGGTGACCCTTGCCCTATTCTGAACTTAATTAACCGTAAGACCAACTCAACAGCAGAGGCAGGAAGGGCTACAACAGGTTCTCCTAACTACAAAGGGACACCCAGCACCAGGCAGAGCTTTCTCTTAAGAACACCAAAAGTCCAACACAACCCACAGCCCACCCAACAGATGAACTGAATGTCACAGCATCTTTCCTGACGTTTTTCCCGGTGGTGTGGGGGCCCACTCTCTCTAGGCTGGTGTGATGCCACCGAGCCACCCCTCTGGACCCGTCTTTCGCTGGTGTTGGGGACAGGGCCTGTCCTCTCACCAGGGCGCATGCTCGTGCCCTCCTTTAAATGGGGAAGCACAGGCACATGGCTATCCACCTTCCCTCTGTGGAGACCGAGTGACTCCTCACATGTTTCCGCCTAGGCTGTCCTGACCCCGCAGCCCTCCCGGTCTCAGCCTTTATTGTGGCTTGTGATGACAGAAATGCCCGACTGTGCCAGTTATGAGTTGAGAAGAAGTCTTCTGAATTTCTCTGCCCAAGTTGGTCTTGAGCTGTGACACCCAGCCAACTAGCTCAGTTACAGGTATGAGCTACAGGCACCACTGGGCTTGCATCTTCTCTCTCTGCTAATCCTTGGATGGACGGAAAGTTCCCCACAGTGGAAGCACAAATGGCAACAAGGAAACCTAAACACAAAGTCCTTTGTAAGGTCATGTTGTCATTAGCTTAGGAGACTACTTCCTGCGCTAAGTAGTGAGGAGACGAAAGATCTAAAGTTCTACGTTTATAGCTACACATGCTCCCAAAGTTCTGCTCTTCAGCCCGGTAAGCACCATCTGCAGTCCTACTAACCACGATGTGTGGCAGCAGCATACTCAGTACATGTTATTGGCTGCAAAAAATTTTTTTGGGGGGTCGTGGGTCTTGAACTCTGGGCCTGGGCGTGGTCCCTCAGCTCTTTAGCTCAAAGTGAGCGCTCTACCACTTGAACCACAGCACCACTTCCAGTTTTCTGGTGGTTAATTGGAGATGAGTCTCACACTTTCTTGCCTGGGCTGGATTACAGGAGGGAGTCATCAGTGCCCAGTGTAAAATTGTTTTTGAGACAGGGTTTCACTATATAGTCCAGGTTGGTCTTCAACTTGTTATCTTCTTGGCTGCCAGTGCTGACCACACTGGCTAAGGTGCAGAGTGTATCTTAGACTGGGTGAATGAAAACCACCTTGCTGCTGGAGAGGATATACACCACAGACCCAGAGTCATAAATCCAACCAGGGATCTCCCTGATCCAACGTATCTTTGAGATACTGAACATCTTTCACCAAAATGACACAGATGTGCACCTAAGACACCTCAGTGTTGTGTGCCAGTCATAAAGCTTGAACTCAGACCTGAATACTGTCCCTGAGCTTCTTTTGCTTAAGGCTAGTACTCTACTAGAACCACAGCTCTACTTCTGGATTTTTGGTAACTAATTGAAGATAAGAGTCTCAAAGGAGGGTCTAGGAAGGTGGCTCAGTGGTAGAGTGCTTGCCTTGCATGCCTGAGGTCCTGGGTTCGATTCCTCAGCACCACATAAGCAAAAAGAAATAAGCCGGAAGTGGTGCTGTGGCTCAAGTGGTAGAGCGCTAGCCTTGAGCTGAAGGACAGCACCCAGGCCCAGAGTTCAGGCCCCACAACCGGAGCCAAAAACAAAACAAACAGACTCAAAGGACTTTTCTGCCTAGGCTTGGAACCCCAATCTTCATATCTAAGCCTACTAAGTAACTAGGATTACAGGCATGAACTACCAGCTCCCAGCCTGATTTTTTTCTTTTTAACTGGAAGATAAAGAGTCCTTGATCCTCAGATCTCAGTCTCCAGAGCAGCTAGGATTACAGGCATGACCCATGGCAACCACCACTCAGTTTTAATTGGCTCTCCTCACTTATCTCCTTCGGGTTTTATAGTTCCGAAAAGTATTGTCTAGAACTTCAGGCTGTTTCTTCAAAAAAAAAAAAAAAAAAACAAAATGGGCTGGGAATGCGGCTTAGTGGTAGAGTGCTCGCCTAGCATGCATAAAGCCTTGGGTTTGATTCCTCAGTACCACACACATAGAAAAGGCCCGAAGTGCTGCTGTGGCTCAAGTGGTAGTGTGCTCACTCGCCTTGAGCAAAAGCAGCTCAGGGACAGCGCCCAGGCCCTGAGTTCAAGCCCAGGACTGGGGGGAGAAGTCCTGATGCAAGTTTTTAAGACTCACCTGCTATGAAAAGCCAACCTCCCAAATCTGTATCCCAGACTGCAGGAAAGTGCAGGTGTGTGGACACCATCTCGGGTCCACGGAACCCTGAGGGCTCCTGACAGGCTGTCTGCACAGGCCTAGTGCTCATTCTCATTTCATGCTTCCCCTCTGCCTAGCACAGGCTCTTGCCTCCTGCAGGCAGGCCTGCCCCACCATGGCCCATTTCTGGGAACGAGGGAGACCAAACCCATGGAGAGCTGTTCCGGCCAGCCCTGCTGGAGGGCAGGGGTCTTGCTGGCGCCGACTCCTTCATCATACTCACATCTATCTCCCCGTCGTCAATCTCCCCATCGTCGTCCTCTTTTTTTTTCTCCTTGGCAGCTTCCGTGGGAGGTTCCTTTTCTCCCACGTTTTGGACGCCAGGCTTGGCCTCCTCCCCAGGAGCACCATCCCCCTTTTCCTCATCCTCCTCGGCCCCGGCCTTCTCGGTCTCATCATCCTGGGTAGTGGGAGCCGGCTCTTCGGGGACCTCCTCATCATAGTCCAGCTCGTGCTCATCCAGCTCCCTGGTCACAGAGGAGGCTTCGTCCCTGAGATCACTTGTCTGGTCTTCCTCGCCATCATCTGCCTCCTCCTCACATGGAGAACCCGGTGGGCCCCTGTTTAACTCATGAGCCTCAGAGTCTGGGTCCTGGGACTTGGGCTCACTGGCTCGGTCCTCCTCGTCGGAGCGGTTCTCCCCTTCCTGGCTCTGTACCCTGGCCACGTTCTCCTCATCCTCCAAATCAGAAGCCCTCCCCCCTGTCCCGTCCAAGTCCTGGTCAGAGCCGCTCTCCCTCAGTATGTCATCATCTGAGAGTGCCCGCTGTTCTTCTTCTTCCTCTGGGGAGTGAGGGTCCCGTTCAGGGCTCTCGGCCACATCCATCGGTACCCAGTTCTACAAAAGAAACACAACACAGACTCACAGCATGGCAAGGTGGAGAGCAAGCCAGGTCCGTTTTCCTGGCACACACCCTCAGCCCTGAGAAGATGGGACCACTGTATTTGGCCGGCACAGCTCCTCCCAAAACTACACACCATCCTCAAGAAAGACAGGCTGAAATTCTACTGCCTGCAGTTGGACTCTCAACACATGGCATGGTATGTGCCAACTGTCCTTGAAACCTGGCAGACACAGCTCCGCACAGCCCTTCTCTCACTTGTAGTCTGTATACAGTAACAGGGCCAGGGACAGTTACTCGGATTCCGAGTAAAGTACTTTTGAAAGTTAGTATAATTTTGTATATAGAATAGACAGAAAAATGGAAAGTCAATGTCTGGGGTCATCCTGAGAAGACTAAGGCAGAAAGCGGGGCCAGGCAGGGTGAGTGGCATCTGGGTTCAGAGCTCATAGCACTGGCCACCCTTCCCAGGCTACGGGCTCCTGCCACTTCCTCAGCCATCACCACCTCACTGCAGCTGGACACAGACCCTCCAGCGGAGCCGGACAGGGCTGGGGCCTAGCGACACACCAGAGCCCAAACCACTGCGCCCACACAGGTATTTGTTGCAGGAAATTTTACACATTGTATGCTGCTGTAACAGACAATTATTTTTGGAAATTGCATTTCTATTTGTTTTTTCTGTTGGTCGTGGAGCTTGAACTCTGGGCCTGGCTCCTGGCTCATTCTGTTTTTATGCTGCAGATTCAATCGTCGAGTAAACGTTTTCTGGTTTTCCACTTCAACAACTCATAGAAAGCACACTGGTCAGCTATATGTATAATCTCAATACCTGAGAGGCTGAGGCAGCAAGTTTGAGACCAGCTTGGGTTACGTACCCACACCTATTAAAACCACTGGAAGAAAGCTGGGCTCTGGTGGTTCATACCTGTAACCCTAGCTACTCAGAATCTGAGATCTGAGGATCATGGTTCAAAGCCAGCCCGAGCAGGAAAGTCTACCAGACTCTTTATCTCCAATTAACCACCAGAAAACAGGAAGTGGTGCTGTGGTTCAAGTGATAGAGTGCTCACCTTAAGCTGAAGAGCTCCATACCCAGGCCTAGAGTTCAAGCCCACAACTGACAAACAAACAAACAAATCAGAAGAGCAGGAAGAAATAGAAGGGATAGGGGAGAATTTTGACCCATTTGTTTTAAAGGAAGACTACCTAAGGTGGGCTCAGAGTATGTGGAACTGGAAGTTGTGTCTGCCAGCAAGCAGGGCAGCATGTCACAACAGAGCTTACTATCTAGGGACAGGTTCAGTGTTCATGCTGGGAGAATGCCTAGGATTTTATTTAAACAAGGTATGCCAGCTTGTTTCGGGATGCTCACACTATAATCCTAAGAAAGCTGATATCTATGGATTGAGGGTCAAAGCTAGCCTAGATAGACAAATCTGAGACTCTTACCTCCAACTAATCAGCCAGCAGAAAGCCAGAATTAGAGGTATCGCTCAAGAGCTAGAAGGCCAGCCAGGAGCAAAAAAGCTGACCGACAGTGTGAGACCTTGAGTTCAAGCCCCAGTACCAACACACACATACACACACACACACACACACACACACACACACACACACACTCATGCACACACAGAAAAACAGGCCATAGTCAAGCCGTCTAATATCTTAGCAACCTCTAGAAGCAGTCTATTCATTCTAAGATTAGTATGGGTTTAGAGTATTTCACAGACTACCTTCTCATGGCCTTGTGTTCTTGCTCAGCTTTCTCATGGCTGGTGTTCCACTTCTAGACTATTATTTTGCTGGTTAACTGGACACAGAGTCTCTCAGACTTTTCTGACTAGGAAAGCTTCAACTCATGACCCTCCAGTTCTCAGTCTCCTGTGTGGCAGGGATTTAAGAGGGTTTCAAGATCCTCCTGTTCCACTTTCCAACTATAGGCCCACCTCTACATGCCTGGTCACACAGTGTATTTAAATCTCCACAGGAAGCCGGGCGCTGGTGGCTCACGCCTGTAATCCTAGCTACTCAGGAGGCTGAGATCTGAGGATCTCGGTTCAAAGCCAGCCCGGGCAGGAGAGACCGTGAGACTCCTATCTCCAATAAACCACCAGAAAACCGGAAGTGGCGCTGTAGCTCAAGTGGTAGAGCGCTCGCCTTGAGCTGAAGAGCTGAGGGACAGCGCCCAGGCCCAGAGTTCAGGCCCCACGGCCCACAAAAAAAAAAAATCTCCACAGGAGCTGCCTACAGGTAGCACCTGCTGGGAGCTTTGGGAAGTTAGTCTGCTCAACTTGTTACTGAGTCTCATAGAACCCATACAAAGGGGGACATATTCACACTCTCACTCTTTCTAACTAATGGAAGACTTGGAACAAAGTTACAGCTTAAATCAGCTGTAGGCAAAACTAAATACCAAAACCAACCAAACAAACCCACCCACTGGGGATGACCATTCCTTGGCTTGTCACTCACTTGCTGCCCTGTGACCATCGCTTTTCTGGACTGGCCCTGACGATGGGGCCCAAGCTCTAAATGGTTTTACTCTGCTGTCACTGTTTTAATCAGATCCAAGTCCTTTACCTGAACTAGTCCAAGCTCACCAGGTGTTAAACAGCAGGATGTTTGCTTTTACTTTGCTGCTAGAATGAAACAGTGAAGTCTGGGCTTCTGAATTACAGGGCTTGAATCCTCACAGGACTGCCTTCCAGGTTTAACATCTGGGGCAAGCTAATTAACTTGTCAGGCCCCTGTCTTCATCTGAAACATGGAGACAATAGTAGCTACTTTTATGAAGTTGTTGCAATGTTTGATAAGATGATGGATAAAGTTTCTGGCACAAGCTGGACACATTCTAATTTAAAACAAATTAAGTGAAGGGCAGGGAAGTTGGCTCAGTGATAAAGTGCTTGCCCTGCATGCATGGAGACCCTGGGTTCGATTCCTCAGTACCACATACACAGAAAAAGCCAGAACTGGTGCTATGGCTCAAGTGGTAGAGTGCTAGCCTTGAGCTGAAGAGCTGAGGGACAGCGCCTAGGCCCAGAGTTCAAGCCCCACAACCGACAAAAAATAAAAATAAAAAATAAAAAAAATAGGAATTAAGTGAAGATAAATATTCTCCATAGCCAGGTGCTGGTGGCTCATGTCTGTAATCCTGAGATCTGAGGATCATGGTTCAAAGCCAGCCCCGGCAGCAAAGTCTGTGAGAGTTTCATCTCCAATTAACCACCAGAAATCCTGAAGTAGTGCTGTGGCTCAAAGGGGTAGAGTGCTGGCCTTGATTGAGCAAAAGAGCTCAGGGACAGCACCCAGGCCCAGAGCCCCAGAACCAGGGGGAAGCAAAATAAAACAAAACTCCTCCAAGCCAGTGCTGATGGCTCACATCTGTAATCCTAGCTACTCAAGAGGCTGAGATCTAAGGATCAAGATTTGAAACTAGCTTGGGCAGACAAATCCAAGAGACTATTATTTCCAATTAACCAGCAAAAATACCAGAAATGGAAGTGTGGCTCAAGTGGTAGAGCATTAGCATTGAATGGAAAAAAACTAAGCTCAAGTGCAAGGTCCTGGGTTCATGCCTCGGCACTGACACAAGTAAGTAGAAACATACTCCTAGCCAGGCATGTGGCTCCTGCCTCTAACCTCAGCACTTGGGAGGCCGAAGGAGGAGGAATGTGAGTTCAACTATGGCATGGCTGCCTTGAGCAAAACTCCACTGTATTCCCGTCAGCTTCAGTCCAAGTCGTTTCAAAGGCTGAGCATGTTGGCATATACCTGAAACTGCAACTATTTAGGAAACGGAGGCACTCAGAGGACTGATCCTATCTAAACAAAACAAAACATTACATCTTTTTTTCTGTCGTTCGTGGGGCTTGAACTCTGGGCCTGGGCGCTGTCCCTCAGCTCTTCAGCTTAAGGCGAGCGCTCTACCACTTGAGCCACAGCACCACTTCTAACATTACATCTCTTAAGAGTGTTCAGGAATAAAGTATTCATGGTTTCATTTGACAAACACTATAATAAAACAAAAAACTGAGACTGAGACTACTGTCAGGTACTGAGTTTTGAATTCAGCCTTGCACTGGATCCTATTTACTCTTCCCACGAAGCTGAGATTATGAGATTACAGCCTGTCCACCACATGCAGTATTTACTCTTTTGCCCGAGCTAGCTTTGAAACAGTGATATGCCCAATCTCTATTTTCTCAGTAGCTAGGATGCCTTTTTTTATTTTTATTTTTTAGTTTTTGGTGCCTCATGATCTCACCTGTGTTTCTTGCTCACGGTTGGTGCTCAACAATTAGAGCTAAACTTCCAGTTCAGAATTTTGCTGGTTGACTGGGGATAAGAGTCTTGCAGAATTTTCCTCTTGGGCTGGCTTCAAACTGTGATCCTCCAGGTCTCAGCCTCCTGAGTAGCTAGGATTACAGGCATGAGAAACTGGTATCCAGTTCCTCATATCGTTCTTAACCTCCCCCACTCCATGTTCCAAATAAATGTTGTCCCCCTTTCCTAGGTAAGAAGACCAAGGCCGTATAGATATGGCATGGCTGCCAGGAAACGAGCTCTCACTTTTAGCCAAAGTTTAGACCCGACTTCTAAGTGAATTTTCTAATTCTTGTTTGAAAAAAAAGCCTATGCATAAATGAGGTCTTCTTGTCAGTCTACAAATTTTGCCCACTTCCCTTTTCTCCTTCCAAACATAAATGCAATAAATAAATCAAATGCCCACAAACGTGGCCCTTTCATACTGAGGTCACAGCAGGTGTTCACTGGTCAGAACACTTGCAGGCAGGCAGCTGTATAGAGGTGCGAGAGAGGTGCAGCTCCCTCTCCCTGCCTGTACACCCTGAATACAGAGTTGCTTCAACTTCCAGGGTGTAAGTCGCTTCTCCGCAGTTTCCAGCAATCGATACTGTACAAAGTGGCGGGACAAGTGACACTGAGGTCACTTGTGACTTCCTGGTCTGTAGTGGAAAGACTGGGGGTCTGGACTTTGGGGTAATGGACTGCTTTGAGAATCTATTGATAGGTCTGAGTTCTTTCCTTTGATAAGACCAAACATATAAAACTTCTTTCACTTCAAAACCACTGAGTTTCCCCCCCCATTATGAAATCTTGCTTGGTTATTACTGTGCCATACGATAAATATATATACTTGCATATTAGTGCGCTACCTGTTTTTTTTTTTTTTTTTTTTTTTTAATCAGTCGTGGGGCCTGAATTCTGGGCCTGGGCGCTGTCCCTCAGCTCTTCAGCTGTAGACTAGCGCTCTACCACTTGAGCCTCAGCGCCACTTCCAGCTTTTTCTGCTTATGTGGTGCTGAGGAATCAAACCCAGGACCATGACATGCATGCAAGGCAAGCACTCTACCACTGAGCCACCTTCCCAGCCCTGCTACCTGTTTATTCATATTTGCCAAGCAGTATTGCTATTGGGAAGCCTCCCTTACCCCCTGCTATAGTTTGGACTAAGTGACCCCCAAATGCCCACAGGCTAGAGTCTTGGTCCCAGAGAGGCACTGCTGAGAGGAGCTGAAAACTTTTAAAAGGTAGCGCCTAACTCTCTGCTTTGAGAAACTTCTGCAGGCCACTCAGTCTGGCCTGGGAAGTGAGAGGAGTTACCAAGCCAGGTAAGATAACTGTTAGGTCAAACACCGGATGTGATGAGAGGATAAAAGCCATCTTCTCTCCTGGTTTACAGAGTTAATTACCAAGACAAAAATATGAGAGAGGTTTTGAGCACCAATGGCATAGCTACCTCCTACTTTTTAGCAGAGCAGCTCCTGTATGAATGTCTACAGGATCCGGATAGGATTCCGATTCCTGCCTTCATGGGCTTACAATGGTCAAAGCATGCACGTCAAGGATGTTAAAGGGGGGAAAAAAACACCACCACCACCTGGGGGCTACGCTCAACCACCAAAAAACTCCTTGGTAAGGATATACTCACCTTGAAACGGTCTGCAGATGTGGTAAAGTGAAAAACCCTTTTAAACCTGAGCAAGGCCACAGCTTACTTACCTGTCTGCCTTCTGGAGTGATTCCACTCAATTAAGGATGATGGAGCACTCCCCACCTACAACCCGAGAGGGGGCCCGGGCTTTAGGACACTTTGCACGGATGGGTTCTAGAGCTGGCTGAACTCACAGAGCGTAATATTACAGGCACATATTCTCCTCCTCCAGGTCTGCACAGTGGGAGCTAGCCTCGGTCCAGGCCTGCCCCGAGCATGTCAACACGATGGGGGCCGTGGGGAGGCTCAAAGGGCCAGCCGCGGGCCGGTGTCAAACGCGGGTCCGAAGGAGGCAGGACTTACTTTTGCAAAGGAGTCCGCTACACAAAGCTCACTCAGAAGCCTCGGCGGCGGCGCCGGCCCGGCTCGGGAACCCTGAGGTTCGGGCGGGAGCAGGGCCGGGCGCCGTGCTTCCTCCCCGCCTCCCCGCGCGGCGGCGCGGCCTCCCGGAGGGCCGAGCCGCGGCACGTTCCCAGGGAGACCGGCGCGCCGTCCGCCCCGCGCCCGCCCGGACGCGCCCCGGGAGCCCCGCGCGGCCGCCATCGCCGCGCCCCGCGGCGCCTCGCCCCCCTCTTTGTGGGCAGCAGACATGTGCCGGCGGGCGGCCCGGAAGAGACATGACAGCTCGGCCGCGGCGGCGGCGGCGCGCCAGGGCGCAGGCGTCCGGCGGGGGGCGGCGGGCTCGCGGCGCCCGGCCCGCCCGGCCCGCCCGGCCGCGCTCCGGCCGCGCTCGGGGCCGCGGCTGCGCACGGCCGGGGGCGCGCCGAGCGCTCGGGAGGCGGCGCCGCGCTCCGGGCCTCGCTCCCGCCGCCGCCCGCCGCCGCCCCGCTCACCTCAGCGCGAGGCCGGAGACCGGGCCGCGGCTCCGCTGGAATCGCGGCGGCGCGGGCGGGGCGTCCCTCGGCCCTTCCGCTTCTCACAGGCTCCGGCTACAGGGGCGACGCGGGCGGAACAAACGGGCTCCACTACCCGCGGGGGCCGGCCATTGTGCGACGTCATCAGGCCGCGACGACCCGCCGCCAGCCGGCGGGCTTCCCTTGCTCGCCCCGCCTTCCCCGAGCTTCCTTCCGGCCTCCGCGCGGCCCGACACCCGGAGCGCGCGCCCGCGCGTCTCCGCTACGGCGCAGGCGCCGCCGAGGGCCCCTCCCCTGCGGGGGCGTGTCCCCACGTGCGCGCGCGCGCCGGCCGGAGGCCCGAACGCGCCTGCGCCGGGTCCGTGCGGGTCACGTGGTGGCCCTAGTCTTCCCGCGCACGGGTCGCGGACGGGGCAGAGCCGGAGAGAAGGAAAGGAAAGGAAAGGGGCTGGGGGGTAGGGACGGAGGGAGGGGCTGAGGAAGAGGGGAGGGGAGGGGCTGAGGAAGAGGGGAGGGGAGGGGCTGAGGAAGAGGGGAGGGGAGGGGCTGAGGAAGAGGGGAGGGGAGGGGCTGAGGAAGAGGGGAGGGGAGGGGGGAGGGGAGGGGCTGAGGAAGAGGGGAGGGGAGGGGGGAGGGGAGGGGCTGAGGAAGAGGGGAGGGGAGGGGCTGAGGAAGAGGGGAGGGGAGGGGCTGAGGAAGAGGGGAGGGGAGGGGCTGAGGAAGAGGGGAGGGGAGGGGCTGAGGAAGAGGGGAGGGGAGGGGGGAGGGGAGGGGCTGAGGAAGAGGGGAGGGGAGGGGCTGAGGAAGAGGGGAGGGGAGGGGCTGAGGAAGAGGGGAGGGGAGGGGCTGAGGAAGAGGGGAGGGGAGGGGGGAGGGGAGGGGCTGAGGAAGAGGGGAGGGGAGGGGGGAGGGGAGGGGCTGAGGAAGAGGGGAGGGAAGGGATGGGGGTGAGGAGGGAGGGAAGGGATGGGGGTGAGGAGGAGGGAAGGGATGGGGGTGAGGAGGGAGGGAAGGGATGGGGTGAGGAGGGAGGGAAGGGATGGGGTGAGGAGGGAGGGAAGGGATGGGGGGTGAGGAGGGAGGGAGGGGATGGGGGGTGAGGAGGGAGGGAAGGGATGGGGGGGTGAGGAGGGAGGGAAGGGATGGGGGTGAGGAGGGAGGGAAGGGATGGGGTGAGGAGGGAGGGAAGGGATGGGGGGTGAGGAGGGAGGGAAGGGATGGGGGTGAGGAGGGAGGGAAGGGATGGGGTGAGGAGGGAGGGAAGGGATGGGGTGAGGAGGGAGGGAAGGGATGGGGGGTGAGGAGGGAGGGAAGGGATGGGGGGGGTGAGGAGGGAGGGAAGGGATGGGGGTGAGGAGGGAGGGAAGGGATGGGGTGAGGAGGGAGGGAAGGGATGGGGTGAGGAGGGAGGGAAGGGATGGGGGGGGTGAGGAGGGAGGGAAGGGATGGGGGTGAGGAGGGAGGGAAGGGGCTGGGGAGGGCTGTTCAAGTTGAGGTCCTCAGCCTTGATGCTTCCTGCTTTATTAAATACCAGCGGTTACCAGGAGAACTGGGTTATTTTGGAGACACTGACGTTAAAGATCCATTGCCAGAGGATGAGGGGAACGGAACGCCCTGGCTCTCCCCTCCCGGCAGCCTCTTTTCAAGTTTTCTTTCCACTGTGTTCTGACCACCAGGTTGAAGAGAACTCGGAGCCAAGAAGAGACAGGAAGAAAGTAGCTTAGTGATGTAAAAGGCCCTGGCCGGTAGCCCCTCGATGGGAGTCATTTTTTGACCTATGTTACTGTTTAGTTTTTGTTTTAGTTTTCAGCAATCTGGTTCCTTTTTGTAGCTTGCCTGGTGGTCATATTTGATGCTGGAGGATGTGGGTGTGTGCCCTGCTCCTGAGTGGTAGTGCTGGATTCACACACATACACACACAGACCGTCTGGGCATCTCAGCCATCCTGTGAGAGCCTATGTTGGCCTTTGCAGAACTGGTCTGTTTTTTTGGCAGAGTGCTTGCTTCTAGAGGACAAGACTTCTACGCTCCCTGAAGAGAATCTAGGGTGCTCACCAGCCCTGCCTCAGCCTCTTGGTCTCAGTCTGCTTTTCCAGGTCTTACACAGCTGGATGCTGTGCAGCCTGGTGTCCTTCTGGGAGCTCAATTCTGGGTCTCTGCTTGCTGAGTTGTTGGTGATGAAGAGAATCTACCCAGGTCTCTAGGCTCCTTCCTTCCAGATTTCCCTTTAATGAGATGGGGGGGCAGCCCCCCCCACACCTGTCCCTGGGAGGAGGGAACCACCAGGGCCAGGGCCCACCCACTGCAGGATTATAGCCCAGTCCTGCCTTGTGGGATGTCCCTTGCTCACGCATGTTTTCCCATGTTCTTGCCTGCTGACCCAGCTGTCTTTATGGGGAGGACTAGCTGATTCTTATCTGCGATTCTTATCTGGAAAGGGTGGCTCTTGCTGGTCTGCCCGATGGCCACCAGAGGGTGTGCCTGACCAGCCCAGTGACTTCTCAACCGCCTGGCACCAGTGGCCAAGTGTGAAGACGCCCCCCTGAGAGGGGGGCAGATCTGAGCCGGGAGAAGGCCCACTCCATCTTCTCCAGGCCATGTCCTGCCTCTGACCATACCCAACCTCCTCATTCTGCTGGGGATGATACAGAAGTGCCCTGGCAATGCACACAATCCCCCGCAGCCCCGGCCCTAGCTCAACCGCGCCACTCAGACAGGACGGGCAGAGGGAGGATCTCTGCGGCCTCTGGTTTGGATGAGCAAATGGCTGAAAGGAACAAGTGTCAGGTCAGCGCCTGCCTGTGCCCTGGGGTGCTGCAAGGGCCTGGTATTCATTCGGCCGGGAGTGTCTGCACCCTGAAGCCTTGTCCTGCCCTGCCCTCCCCGTGGGAGTCTCAAGGGCCAAGGTACCACCCTGTGCCCCAGCCAGGGCTGTCCCCAGTGTCCCCCCCCCAAAAAAAAAACCTCAGAAACTCCAGACACCTGACCATTTAGTGCTGATCTCGATCTGCTTTGGCCTCCCAAATTCCAGGATTCAGGCATGTGCCACCAAGCCTGGTTCAGGTGCCTGATTTTTATATCCGTCAAAGGTGCCGGCAGTGCTCCCCGCGAGGGACAGCCTTGCTGAGCAGAGCACCTGCTGGGAGCCCTTGGGACTGGCCATGCTTTCACCCCAGAGCTCTGGTGTCTGGGCCACACGCTCACCATGACTTCTCCCCTCACACTACCTGCGGCCAGGCTCACCCTCCGCCTGTGACCACGTGTCAGAAGCTCAGGCAGAATTCCAGGATGAGAGCTGGAGCCAGGCGCCAGGGCCGGAGGGGCCGGAGGGCCGGAGGGGCCACGCGCCTGGGCTCCAGGGAGGGAGGGTGCTCCTCTTCCCTTCCACCCAGCCTCAGCTGCTGGGGGGGGGTCACCAGCAGCTCTCCCCCCAACCTCCACAGGGAGGCTCAGTCTAGGCAAGTTCACATAAATTAGTCACCACAATCGTAGCAAGTCTCACCTCCTGTCTTTAAATGGGTTTTGTGATACCATGTTAGGTTCCTTCCCCGGCCCGAACCTCTCACAAAAGGCCTGAGTTGGCCGACTTGGCTTACTCCACGGAGCCCCAGGCTCCATCAAGAGACTCGCCTGCTGGTGTGGCCACAGCAGCCTGCGCATTGGCAGGAAGGGCTCTCCCCTCTCTCCCCTGTTGCACATGTTGAGATTCACGCTCCCAGGTGTGGCTCCTGCCTGTAATCCGGCTCCTGCCTGTAATCCGGCCCCTGCCACAGCATGCCTTTCTTTCCGCTTGAGGGCCAGTGGCGCCCTGAATTCCTGTCCCCAGTCACATAAAGCCACTGCCGCCAGGCGCCAGTGGCTTATGCCTGTCATCCTAGCTACTCACAAGACTGAGATCTGAGGAGCGTGGTTCAAAGCCAGCCCAGACAGGAAACTCCGTGAGACTCTTATCTCCAATAAACCACTCAGATATCCGCTGTGGCTCCAGTGGTAGAGCGCTAGCCTTGAGCTGAAGAGCTGAGGGATAGCGCCCAGGCCCAGAGTTCAAGCCCCACAACCAACAACAACAAAAAAGCCACTGCCATCTAAAGATGAGCAATAATTGAGTTCATTATAGAAAAGTAGAAACACACACACACACAAGCAAGAGGAGTTCCTTCGTAGCTTGCTTTCCACATAGGACAGCACAGCATACTTTTGAATCCCAAGTCTGATGTGAGCTCCCTGCAAGCCAGACGGGGGACTGACCCCTCTGGGGACAGCCTAGCGGTCCACAACAGCAAGCGCTCGGCTGTGGGGGAGCCGGCTCTGACACTGGGGGGCTGAAGTTGACAGTGAACTCTCTATGGAAGCAAGAGGGTGAGAGGTGGACTTGCTGCTGCATGCGTGGACAGGCAGAACTGGACACGTGGAGTCACAGGGAGGCGCGTGTCGCCGGGCAGGTCTGCCGGACTCTCAGTCGCAAGAACGAGTCCTGCAGCACCGCTCATCCCACACGGTTCACTGGGAGCCACCTGATAATTGGAGGCCTGTGTGCGTTGGTAATTACCTGATCGAAGGGCATGATAGCACTTCTCAGGACCTGGCAGTGGGGGGGGGCGGGAGGCACTGGCAGCCTGCTGGACACTGTGGACACTGGGAGACGGCACTGACCAGGGCGGGGCCGGCTCCCAGGCCCTGGGGGAAGACATCACTGTGCTGAGAAGCTGCCTTTCCTTTTGTTTTATGAAAGGAAGACACAGATTAAAAGAAGCATAGGAAGAATCCAGAATTACAGGGCTTTTTTCCTCTTGTTTCTCCCTGTGCTGGTCCTGAGCTCAGATCCGGGCCTCATTGTCCCTTAGTAGTTTTCACCCATCCCTGGCACACATCCATTCAAGCTACACCTCTACTTCCAGCTTTTGGGGCCAATTGGAGGTAAGAGTCTCACAGACTTCCCCACCCAGGCTGACTTCAAACCTCAATCCTCAGATCTCAGCCTCCTGAATTGCTAGGATTACAGGAATGAGCCACAGCATCATTATCAATGTTCTCAAACGCAGTAAGATGAGTGATGGAAGAAAGTTTGTTCTTTCTCCCTTTGCATCAAGGAAAATAAGTTGTTTCCTTGTTCTATTAGCACATGTTAGTCACACACAAGGATTTC